CCTTTTTTGGCAGCCAGGTCTTTATACGTATAAAACTGAGGGGGAAGATCTGTTCCCATGGCTGGCAAATCCTTTCAACCTAGACATAACACCCTCCCCTCCCCATGTCACTTGTAGCAGGAAAAATAACACCTGTCACACTAATAAAGGAGAGAGACAGCTGTAGAAGGGGATTGTAGGAGAGGGGGCAGGGCTTGCTTACATGATTACTTGTTCTCTATTGTTTGGTCCTAAAGCACATGGAATGTTAATACTACTGACCCCAAAGAAAATGCAGGAGCTCCTTTTTTGTTAAGTATTGCACTCAGTCTCAAGGCACAGTTAAACTGACCATGCTAAATTTCACTCTTCCCTCATGGTAACCCTGCATGTAAATTAACCTCTAGGAAGATTGCTCTCCCTTCCCAGAGACATAATTCCATTTAATCAGCAGAAAGTGCCACTTTGAATTCTGGGATTTAAAACACCCTGTCACCTACATGTACATGTAGTTGTAAGATCATTATGAAAAGTTGAGTAATAATAATTGATGAATTTTGATCCAGGCAGGAAGGTTGGCGTTTAGAACCAGAAGATCTGTCTGACCCAAACTCACCGATAATTTTCAAAGGAGTGGTGTTCAATGAAATGAAGGGTGCCATGGTAAGCAGATGATGATCCAGATATCTTGACCTTAACCAGGGCATTCATGTACAAGTTTTGTAAGCGTAGCATAAGCTAGCAAAGAGGATGAAATAACCAACATAAACACTTGAAAACAAAGCGCAGCGTTTTTTTTTTTGTTCGCATTGGACAGTTATAACCTTGGCTAATATTGACATTAACCAAGCTTGCTCAGCTTCTTAAAGACTGTCATTTATACAAAGTGTGGATTATTCAAACAGATTTTGCTTGAAAGCTGTCAGAAATCTTCGATAGATCTTTACTGCAAAAAATAATGGTAGTGAAGTTGTAAAATTCCTCGCTGCACTGTATCATTAAGGTAATCTGTTTGTTGTATAATCTCTACCCACTTGTAACCACTCTGTGGTAGTAGCCAACTCGAAAGCTTGGCTCCTTTGGCTGCTACACACTTTTTCCCTTGTTATGTTTAATTCAATGTTTAGTTAGCTCTGTTTTTACTTCTTTTTTTTTCTTTCTTTTTGTTGTTGTACTGTAATTGAATAAGTGAGAATAAATGAACTTGAACTTGAACTTGTAATGTGCAGAAAAAATCAAGTCACTTAAGGAACATTTTGGGATTAAATTTTACTACTTAAGAGAGTGGGTACCAATAATAATGTTATATTAATTATTCTGTCTATCTGTAGAGCACCCCAGAGTCACTCTTTTCTTACCACGCACAGAGGAACTTGTTACCGAGCCACACATATGGCAACAATAGCGGAGGAGACCCTCTTTGCATTCCTGACCTCACAGTAAGTAAGACTTTTAACTTCTACCTCAAAGCTAAATATCTTAATAATGCCTAGATAATTACTGTATAACTTTCTACAGGAATGAGTTATGATGTGTATGAAATAAAGTATAGTGTGTGTGTGTCGTTATTGTACTTAGTTTATAGTACATATTAGTGGTTGGTAGTGCGTGTAGAGTCTTAGGTTTCGTTTGTAGTTTCACATTTTCTCCTGTCGAACCACACCTCTAGTCTGTACTGAATAACTATGCTAATTTCTTACTTTACTACTTCCGCATATATTGCATCGTAAGCCAGTTCCCAGGAGACTACGACACCACAGTGCGGTAAAAACGGAGTCTGTGTGTTGTTGTCTCAACAGGACTGCCTGCATCCAGTAATCACCTTGTTCTTTCTTTTTTCTATAATTTAATGAAATAGCGTTTCTGTTCGCCAGGATAATTGGTCGGTCGAAAGTCCATAAAAACCACGAGAAAAATAAACAAAACATCAACAATTTAATTTCATCTTGCTTGCTCCAAAAATGTGATGAGCTGGCAGAAAAGCAAAAACCTCGTGCTCGCTAGAACAAAACTGCGCATGCACTTGAAATATGTCACAGGACAACCACTAGAATATTCTCCAGAACATCCTCCCCTTTCTTGATATGAAAATATCAACAAAACTTAGGCAAAATAAATTTGTTCTGAAAGATATGAAATGTTCAAAAGCATTTGTCTTAATAATGTCACTTAAAGTTCAACATTGCTCTAATGGGCAAAGTTTCACAATTGGTCTCCGTAGCACAGTCTTTCCAACTTGAACATCAACAACACGCACTTTGCTGTCTTTTCCAGGGAACACCCTTACAATCCTTCCTAAAGGCCATTTTCCTCTTGGTGTATCCGGGGACATGACAATGACAACGTCTCCTACTTTTAGGTCAACTTGCTCCCTGCGCCACTTTTTCCGTACACTCAGACTGGGAATCCATTCATGCAACCATCTATGCCAAAAATGACGTACAAGTTCCTGGACGCGACGCCATCTCTTTCTTGGATTGAATACTTCAGTGTCAACACTATCGGGTGCAAATCTGCCTCCTAACTGACCATGTAAAAAATGATTAGGAGTCAAAGGGGTCAGGTCAGTTGGGCTGCTTGACTGGTAAGTTAGTGGCCTGGAGTTAATTAACCCCTCTGCTCCTACAACTGCACTTAAAAGTTCCTCATCGGTGATGTCTGCAGAGCTAAGGATGGCATAAATAGCTTTCTTCGCAGCTTTGATCATAACTTCATGTACACCACTGAAGTGTGGGGCAAGAGGGGGGTTAAAATGCCACTTGATTCCATAACTTGTCGTAGCATCCTGAATCTTCTTGTGGTCCAAGGCTTCCAATTCTTTTAGCTCGTTACTTCCACCAACGAAATTAGTGCCATTGTCACATACAACGTCTTTGGGCTGGCCACGTCGGGACACCATACGGAAGAATGCATTTAGAAATGAGTCGGTGTCCAGGCTGAAAGCTACTTCGAGATGAACAGCTCGTGTTGCAAGACAGGTGAATAGGCAAAGGTATCTCTTCTGACGCGCCTTTCCTCTTCCTTGCTTAGTAATGAATGGACCACCAAAGTCGACAGAAGTTTGGCTGAAAGCTCGCAACGACATCCGGGTTCTCAGTTCTGGTAACGGAGCCATAATCTGTTTGGCTGGGCTAGCCTTTCTTCTTCTACACTGCATGCATTCTTTCTCCCACTCTTTAATCACCTCTCTTGCTGAAATTATCCAATAGTGGGTTGAAAGTTCTGATAACACTTGATTGGTTCCCCCATGATGGCTCTGCTCATGCTGATGCTTGACTATGAGTCTTGTCACCCAGTGATTGCGCGGGAGTATGATTGGATAACGACTCTCCCATGGTAAGAATTCTGCATAGCGAAGTCGTCCATCACATCGGAGAATTCCATCTTCGTCGATAATAGGTTTCAGGGGCTGCAATTTACTTCCACTTGGCAGTTCTTTTCCAGTTTGTACTGCTCGCACTTCTTCTTTAAATACTTCCTGCTGAGCTTGCCGGATAATTCTTGTTCCCGCGGAGGAAACTTCATCAGGTTGTATTGTGTCTTCTCTACGAACAGCAACTGGCGAACGGCAGTTCTCTAGGAAACGGTTTACCCAAGCTGCGATTCTTGTGAGTTTAGTCCAACTTGAGTATCTTTGTGGGTTCAGCCGGTCTTCGTTGGGAAGTGAAAGGAATGATTGTTCTTTTATTTGTTCTTTTGCCTGGCATATTTGCCGGAGTTCAACATCGGCTTCTTTCTCTCTTTCAGTTCTTGTTGGCGGCCACTGGGTGTGGTCGTACTTAAGGAACAACGGTCCTTTCCACCATCTTTCTTCCTCACTGAGAGCTGAGACACTAAGGCCTCTTGTTAGCAGATCAGCTGGATTCTGTTTTGTTGGAACATGCCTCCACTGTTCTGGATTTGTCAAGGCTTGGATTTCCCTTACACGATTTGCCACAAATGGTTTGAACTTCCTGCTCTGTCCCCGAATCCAGTACAATACATCCATGCTGTCAGACCAAAAGGTCCACTCTTCTTTCTTGATGCCAAGTGCCTGGCCAACGGCTTGATTCAGCTTGAGTCCTACAACAGCAGCCATTAACTCGAGTCGAGGTATGCTGATAGCTTGCAAAGGTGCAACACGTGATCTGGACGCAGCAAGGCGACAGCTAACAGTTCCATCCTCATAGAGGTATCGAGTGTAAGTAACTGCACCATATGCTTCTTGAGAAGCATCCACAAAGGTGTGTAAGGCTACTTCCTTTACTGCTTTAGTAGTTCTTAAACATCAGGGAATCTGAATATTGACTAGTGCTGAGAGTTCTTTGAACCACCTCGAAGCCTTCATTGACAGGTTCTCGTTCACCGGCTCGTCCCAGTCCACGCCGCTTGCCCACATCTCTTGGAGTAGAACCTTAGCACGCACTGTATATGGGGATAACAAGCCAAGAGGGTCAAACAAGGTTGCTATCTTCTTTAGAAAGCTGCGTTTGGAGTGTTCATGCTTCTCGGCGGGCTGATTAACTTGAAATTTAAATACATCTTCCATAGGGCACCATAGGACTCCCAAGGTTTTGACGGGTGGTAGTTCACCTCGATCAAGATCAACTTCTGAAGCACAGTCTGAAGAGGGAATAAACTGCAGCACTTCAGGCACATTTGACAACCACTTTCTAGCATACATTCCGGCAGACTTCCATAACTGTGACAGCTGACTGTACAATTCTACTGCGGTTTTCACATCAGGTACTGAGTCCATGCTATCATCCATGTATGTACTCTTTAACACTGTTTCAGCTGCTAAGGGAAATACAGACTGGTGTTTCCTGGCATGTTCTTGCGCCACGAACTGTGCTTGAAAAGGAGATGAATTCACACCAAATACAACACGGTCAAACTCAAACACATCAGGCTCTCTGTCTGTCTCTAGGTTCCGCCACAAAAAACGGTGATAAGGCTGATCTTCAGGTTTCAACTTGATTTGTAGATACATTTCTTTGATATCGCACATCAAAGCCACAGGGTCACGGCGAAAACGGAGTAACACTGCAAATAAGTCACTCTGAAGTTTAGGTCCCTGAAGCACAATGTCATTTAAGGACAAGTCATTAAATTTTGCAGAGGCATCAAAGACTATACGGGTCTTGGTTGTTGATTTATCTGGCCTCAGCACAGGGAAATGGGGTAAGTACCAGACTTGATCAGGCTTAACTTCATCACGAGAAACTCTATGAATGTATCCTTTGTCTTGATAGGACTGAACCACTGCTTTGTAAGCTTCACCAAGTTCCGGGGACCGCTTCAATTTCTTCTCAGTGCAGTGCAGACGATGCAAAGCCATGCTGTAGTTGTCAGATAATAAAGGTCTGTCTTTTTTCCACGGCATCCCAACTGAGTAGTGACCGTCAGCGAATGTTAAGGACCTTGAAACTGTGTCTCTTGCGAACTTCTCTTCTGGATTGACAATCAGAGTTTCCTTAGGTTCTTCTATGTCCCAGTAGCGGCGAACAAGACTGTTCAGCTCGTGTGAATCATTCAGAAAAAAGGTGAAGCTTGTCTGAGTTCTTTCTACCGGCACCTCAGGATTACCAATGCAAGTCCACCCAAGCGGAGTAAGCCTAGCTATGGGTTCTCCAGGCTCTCCTCTCACATCTCTCAATGAGTACAGCAAGTCAGCTTGGTCCACACCAATTAGTAGGTCTACTATAGGTCTGGGTCCCACTTGAGGGAATTTTATGCCCTCTAGGTGCTTCCATTTGTGTTTGTATTTGCTCCAGTCCACCACTTGCATGTTTCCTGTGACTCTTTCAGTTGTATAGGCAGACGCTAGTTTGGACACTTTTCCTTCACAACTGCTGATCATGAATTCTACAACTGTGGTGTCCAAAATTTGCTGGTTATCATTCAGTACATTAACTGTAAGTTCGTGTGGTCTGCCTTCGAGACCCAGTTCAGCCGCAGTGTCACTGTTTAAGTACGTCTTACTGCTGGCATCATCAAGTAGAGCGTTCACCTTCAGTCTTCGTTTACCATTGGTCACATAGACAGGAACAGTTCTTAAGGCTACAAACTCTGAAGAGGGTACAGTTCCTTTTCCAGTAGTAGCTGTATGGGTTCTCTCACTTGACTCCCCTTCAATGGTGGCATTGGCTCCGGCTGCATTTGATCCATCTGCTGCTTCGGCTTTCTCTTCTTTCTTTGGGTCTTCGTGAAGCAAACGATGGTGATGAGAGCGACACCCTTTTATCCCACAGACCCTACTCCTGAGGCATGCGTCTCCTCTGTGGCCGTCACTGAGACATCTAAAACACAGTTTCTGCTCTTTAGCAATGTTCCACCTTTCATTTACTGTCATCTTCTTAAAACTCTCACAGGTCCACAGGCTGTGGGACTCCTTGCATACTTTACACTTTCTTGAATGTTTCTTCTTAGGGTCAAAATCTTCTTTGGCAAACAGTGCTCTCTCCTTCTTGGATCCACTTAGAACACCTGCTATTGTCTCAGAAGCTGTGGTTAAAACTCAGACTCTCTATCAATAAACTCCCTTAGTGTCTTTACACCCTCCGTTCTATGATTGTCACAGACCCACTGTTTGTACTTGGCCAGAAGATTCTTGTTAAACTTGCGTTGCAGTGAGATGTAAAGAGAGCCACTACCAAGCTCTGCTTCCTGATTAGCATCTGTAAGGTTCACTACTACTGCATCCAGTAACTCAGCAAAAAGCTCAAGATCCTTTTCATTCCCCTCTCTTATCTGCTTAAAGGCATCCAGTTCTTCAAGTCGTAATGTAAGTGCCCTGCGTTTTCCGCCATACTTCCGTTCGAGTCGAGACTTGGCTGCTTCATAGGCTGCCGCAGAGTGTCCCAGATTTTCAATAACTTTAAGGGCCTCTCCTTGCAAGCACTCATGCAGCCGTAGCAATTTGTATTGCGGTGAGGCTCTTGCCTGGTCAACGCATGAATAGAAGGCTGCTTTCCAAGCTTCATAATTTTTCTTGTTGCCTGCAAACCTGGGAATACTCACTCGTTTCAGAGCTGCCATGGAGTCGATACTGATCTGGTCATAACTAGAACTAAATGGCTGACCAGCAATAGGCGTTGAAAACTGTACTTGGCTACCACATGACGAAGGCTGCAAAGGAGTATGACCTTGGGCTGCCGGTGCATGTAACTGATTCGAAGAAAACGCTGAAGGACGTATTGTAGAAGACCCAACAAGTGTGGTCTGGGTTGAGTTCACACGGGAATTCAATGGCGGCTGCTGAAGGGGTTGGTCCCCCACTGGAGGAGAACAAGACATTGACGACTGGGAAACAATTGGAGTCGATGAATGAACAAAACTACTCGAGGGATAAAAAGCAGCTGCTCCACTAAAGTTAACAGAGGTTGATGTGTTTAAATCTGAGACGGATGAAGCACATTGCTGGAATGGTGTTGTCAACTGAATTCTCGGATCACTATTTTGTTCCTGTTCTTCTGATCTCTTCACACTAGCATTTACATTGTCCTGAACTCTAGCTGACTCACCTCCCTGAAATGGTTCCTTTCGTTGCTGTTCTGTAGACAACGATTGCTGCTCAAGTTGTTTCTTCCGTTCGGCGAACGTTTTCTCCAGGTCATGTAACACTTTCGTGATCTCTTGTTCTCGCATTTTAATTTCTTGTTCCAGTCGTTCGGATTGTTCTTTAATGGGAGACTGTCCCGTGGGTGTTGTTCCGGAAACGCTCAAGGCACCGCTCTGACTGGGGCTGCTATTCAAACATCCTCTAACAATTCGTTCGATCTCGTTGAAATCTTCCTCCACAGCTTCTAGTTCAAGCGCTACGGCGGTAAGTCTCGATGAGTCGCCAACAGTCTCATAATGTGCTTCTAAACTCTCGACTGCACGAACTACATCCTCAAAAGCGGCAGAAAGAAGATCCAAACGTTCCATCACCTGCATTTTCGAATACATTCCTCCCTCTAAAGTCATCATCAATTTTGTTTTGGTTCTTGTATAGGCGCCTTTGTACTTCGCTTTGTCCTTTCTCAATCGTTCGGCCATCTCGTGTTCGTTCAGTGTTCGGTTACAAATCCTGGTAAATTACGTCAAATCCACTCAAAGAAGAACCTCGCTCTGCTACCAGATGTTCGCCAGGATAATTGGTCGGTCGAAAGTCCATAAAAACCACGAGAAAAATAAACAAAACATCAACAATTTAATTTCATCTTGCTTGCTCCAAAAATGTGATGAGCTGGCAGAAAAGCAAAAACCTCGTGCTCGCTAGAACAAAACTGCGCATGCACTTGAAATATGTCACAGGACAACCACTAGAATATTCTCCAGAACAGTTTCTGATTTTTCTTGTGACTCCACCACTTGACAGTCGTGAAAACTAGATCGATTGTGGGTATTGCAGCAGGGGCAGACAAGCTATACTAATCACAGTTCTCACAATGCATGCATGGTGAAAAGCATTGTGATTCGTTCATTCCTCCACTCCTGCTTCAGATTCTGATAGTCTCGCTTCACAGGCAAAAGAAGAAGTCATAAGTTGTTGGAAGGAAACTAAAATCTTGTGAACCATGTCTCCGTCCAGCTGTAATCATTAATTTATTTTCAAAAGCACTCAAACAGCTTTGTTTACATTTATGACTCCCACTCTGTTGCTAGAAAAACCAGCCTAAAGTCAGCTGTTAGTGCTTACTAGATACACCCAAGTGTCCTAGCAACGCGGTGACTCACTGACTTACCTTAACTGTACGTGTGGTTGGTGCTAATTCCTCTTACAGTTTTAGTTTACCTGTCGGACTATTATGATTGCACTGCTTTTTTGTCAGATACATGTATGATTATAAGTACCTTTTGGATCAATTCCCTAACTGTTACACGTTCCTCTTTATCATCAGTGGCAGCAGTTGAAAGATTTCCATGCTTCACATTATCATCCCAGTAATTCCAGGTGGGTTTTTTCGAAAGAATATTAAATATAAATGTCTTACTAAAATAGTCCTGGTATTACGAAAGATTGCGGAGTGCGGGCAACTACGATCGAAGGTCAAAACGCTCTTGCACGAACGCTTTTTCACTTGATATATGTGCATTCCATTCATTCTTAGTGGAAGTCCAAAAAATCTGAAAAAAAGCTGGCTACACGTGTGTCGAGCACGCGCAATTACAACCTGGAGAATAGGATTGCGGGCTCCTCTCTTCGCCCGCAATTACGAGATGGATGCCGCAATTCGTTACTTGCATGGTTTATTTGTGTATTAAAGATGGAGTGACCTGTTCCAGCCGTTCAGAAAAATGACTGCGACACGAAGTCAGAGGGCGGGAAAAATTTTTCTGCTCACATCTCTATGCGCCGTCCCCACGATCTGAACGCCTGGAAGACTTTGACATTTGCATTATTTAGATTATAGATAACTTTTGAAAATTTTTCTCAGGTTCTACACGTATGGAGATCTTCCATTGGAGAGTCATCTAGAGAGTATTGAGAATAAAGTATTGCGTCACTTTGACAAGATTTCTGTAACAACAGACATTCCTCATGAGCCCCGCTGGACAGAACTAGTAAGTTATATTAGTAGAAGTAAATGACAATATTAATATTTTGAGACTTCTGAAATGAGAAGGCTAGCATTAAGTTAACTTCAAGATCAGATGCCAGTCAACTTAATAACAGGTCTACATTCTAAGACGAGGACTACTTATTGGTACAGTAGTTCCCGCCAGCGTCATTATGGCGGGAAAACACGATAGCCGTCATCATTGTACTACAGGTTAAGCGAATATCGCAGTGACGGAAATAAGTTATCAAATGTTAGAAGTTTTTTAATTTTGCGATCGGGAGAGGGGTTTACCTACTCCAATAATCATGTTGACTTTTCTGGTGAGTAAAAAGTACAGTAACACTTTCCGGGATGTCTTCTTTTAGAATACGCCAAAAATACTTTAAGTCAAATATTGTTCGTGGTCGCCCGCGTCCTCGAATGTAAAGAGAAACTTTTTCAGCTTACTCAAGACCCTTCGTCACCCGATGGTTTATAGCTTTCTCGGTTCCTATCTACCAAGAAGCAATGTTTATCAACTCAGTCTTCTTGAGAAGTTGTCCTATCTTCATACTTATTGTTGTTGTTGTTGTATATAGCGAGAAAAACACGTCACCTGTCCTTTTGATCCAATGGCTGCAAACCCTGAGAAACAAACCGCAGTTGGATTACATTACCTAACTGGAAGGTATGTTTGTGATTTTAAAAAAGATGAATAGTTTTTACGTGCATATTTATTCACACGGTGATATTATTCACTCACTCTACAGATTTACAAAATACAGTCCCGTAATCGACCACCCAAGATGCGAAGACTTTGTGTTCGCTTACAGGAGGCGATCGTTTACGAGAATTGAACGGGAATTACACGGGATCTCTTCGGGGAATAGTTCCCGACAAATCTACTTATAGGCACAGATTTTATTGCGTGCATTTTGTAGGTTACGTAGTTCCATGTTGTCTCTCACTCTTAACTTGAGCGAACAAAGGGAGCATACCATGACTCAAGTGGTCGCTTACAAGAGGTTCAAAACAATGGAAAACTATAAAGAGTGGTCGAGGTCGCTTATGAGAGTTTGTCGTTTACGAGAGGTTTTATTAGAGGGTTTTGACTGGGAAAATTTGGTGTTTTGGAGAGGTGGTCGCTCATGGGAGGTGGTTGCTCACAAGACGTAATCGCACATGGTGGTTCAACTGTATAAGATGAAATGCTGATTACTATCATGGACCCACTCACACTTAAACACTATGTACATGTGTATGCATTTGTCAGCCTGAGCAAAAGCTGGCACCACTAATAAGCAGAAAGTCTGTCATACTGTACAAAAGATTGTAAAACCCCTAAATGCGTCCAAACAGGAATCATGAACGTTTACAAAGTAGTTAATCCACTGTAATTGTAAATTTTGAATATTTATTATCTTTTTCTTCAACAGCACCACAGATTCGTTTGAAGCCCTGACCATGGTCATCCTATCATCTCTGTTAACTAGTGGTCCAAATTCACCTTTCTACCAGTCTTTAATTGCACCTAACATTGGCTCTGGTTACTGTGCAGGAGTTGGGTAAGAGTTTTTGCCTCTTTCATTGACTTCATCAACATTTAGGTTTTGTTAGCACTAAAAAAAACACTCGCTCCCTAGTGGAATCATGTGTGGTAGAGTGAAACCCCGTTAATAAATTCACCGTTCAGTGCGCTAAGAAACTTCAGACAGTCATATTAACCGTATGGTTGCATTAACTGTGGACAACATGGACAAGAATAGAAAAGAATATTCGTTATTATTTTTATCGATGTAAATGGTTAATTTTACAATCTTGTAGAGTTAAACATGCTAAAAAAAATTATTAAACTTAGTGAAAATAATGTGCAACTGGGAAGCTGAATGAACTAGTTGGTTATCTTGTTAGCTCCCTGAACAATTTTGGTTCTAGGTAGCAGGTAAATGATCAATTAAAAAAACTGGGGCAAGCTCTTGCTTTGAAAGGCTGACCGGCTCCAAAGTATTATATACAGCCATAGTCGGCAATTCTAGCGTCGCTGGTGGGAGGGCTGGAAAACGTATATGCTAATCTGGAACTTGTTACTCCACTTTGTAATAACACCATTTTGGAGGTGGGCTGGAGAAAATTGGTTGTGTCTAGTGAATAGCATGGTTTTCGGTTTTTACCTGTACTCTTGATGAGATAATTCAAATTCATGGAGACGCCTGTGAAAAGTTTTTACTAAAGCCGGCCATTAACTTGTTATTTTCTTTTGCTTGATCCATGTCGTGAAGGTATGATAACTCAACGAAAGATGCGTCTTACACAATTGGACTTCAGGGAATCAATAAAGAAGACTATCCAATGGTGGTGGAAACTATTCGCAACACTTTTGACAAGGTTATTGAGTAAGTTAAGCTATAGTACAGTTAGAGGTCAATTATGATGATGTTACCCCACCCCTTCGCACTTGCGGTCAATAAATCCCTGCGGTTTTCATTAGGCGCTTGACGCGAGGGTTTGTGAACAGGCTAACATGTACCAGTTTGTATATAGCCCGGTTCTGATGTAAACCGATCATTTAATTTTTTGATTCCTCCTGAATTTCAAGTTAACTACCTTATACAGTGTACAAAGCAAGCGCGAGCATACACAGGCACAAGAAAATTTAACAGCCAACTTGCTGTGGTTTGAATTTTAATGTGCTTTCAAAGAATAATCACGTTATTGCTCGATTGTTGCAGGGAAGGTTTTCCGTCGGAGAGGATAGAAGCAGCTTTACACAGCATTGAATTAGCTACCAAACACCAGAGCAGTAATTTTGGTCTTGGACTTATTATGGTAAATGTTCGAACACATTTGTCTGTCTTTACTGGGTGATTGTTTTCAGATATCAGTGGAGTTAGAAAGGAGTCAGTGGGTGGGGTCGAAGGGGCTTTATAGGGTACGTCAACCGGAAGTGACGCGTTTTCACTTTTAAAATCTCTTGACGCTGCAAAATTTGTAATGCTTAGTTTGTCTTGCTCTTATAGAGACGATGTGCCAAAAATGTAGGCGAACTACTGTCGAATATTGCAAAGTGTCCACTTCCGGTTAACGTGCACTACTCAAAAACGTCTTTGTTCACCGTAATGAGAAGCGGATGTGACCAGGGATACACTTTCTAAAAGTCCTTTATTTTTTTTGCTGGTTGGTTATGCCATTTTAAAGGACTTTTCATACCTGTTTGGCGCAAAATTCTACCGGTGACGTCATGACAATTGACCAATACGACAGTGAGTGACATTTCACGCCGCTCCCGACACAGCATATGTCAATAATTTTTTCCCACGTGTATTTATAATACGATTCATATCCATTCAGGCGAAACAGGTCGACCTCAAGACATCGTCGCTCGCTCGTTCGCTTCGCGACCTGATGCATTGAAGCTCGCTTCGCTCACTTTTAGGACTTATAAGGAGTCGACTTGTAGCACGTCTAGAACTGGGAGTGAAGGCAGGGAACTATAAGTAGGAAATAAAAACTGCCACACAATGGGAGATGGAAGTGCGAGTACCAAAGAAATAACCTCGTCCCCATGACTTTCTCATTTTTTCAGGGTAAACCGGAAAAGCTTTGGGGACGAAGTTGCCAAAAACATCAGTTTTGTTTCCAACAGGTTTACCCTAGGAGTGTAGATCAAACGTTTTATCAGTGAGAAAAACCCAGGAGGAAAACGGCGATCGTTTTCATTGGAGACATAACATGCGTTTGTGCTTCCATACCCTTGTTTTAATTAGTTACTTTGTACTTTGTACTCTGGACGGTAATAATTATCGTACGTAGCAGACATAGTTTAGTGAAAATAGAACATCCGTTTTTCTTCAGGGAATCATGTCTATGTGGAATCATGATGCCGATCCCGCAGATTTTCTTCCCATTAATGACCGTGTGGAGATGTTCAAGGTAAATAACACCAAGAATTCTCTGCCGTTGAAGGTGGACGGCACGTAATCAACCCTGCGTGTCTTCCACCATAAAGCACCAGGCAGTATATCTACTCCCTTCCCCGTGGATATGACACAACAACAACACCGGCCCCTCCAAATACAGTCCAACTCCAATAATACGGTCACTCAGGGGGCCATAGAAAGTGTCCTTATTAACGGGGTGTCCGTATTAAGCGGCTTGAATTTAGAGAAAATGTAAGGTCTTTCTTTCCCCAGGGGCAAAGCAAACTTTCCGTGATAATGAGGTGTCCGTAAAGCAGGGTTTGACTGTACTGTCCAACCCCGTTAATACGGTACACAGAAGGGGCCACAGAAACTGTCTGTACTAACGGGGTGTCCGTATTAAGCGGGTTGAATTTAGAGAAAATGTAAGGGCTTTCTTTGAGGTGTCTGTATTTAGTGAGTATGCGTAAAGCGGGCTTTGACTGTACCTCATTATTGTTAGGACGCTGTATTGCAGTTGCTAGGCTGCGCGATTTCAAGCAATTTCAGCACCTTTAAACAAATGGTTTCAGATTTGATTTGTCCAAGGGCGCGTTTGATTGATTGTACCGCGGAATAAGAATATGCCAAAAAGTTATCTACAAATCTCTTGCGCTGAGAGTTTTGAACTAGTTGAACGTTAAATATCTCGCAATATATTATTTCAAGCGGATTTCTAGATGTTAAAATGCAATGAATTAAAAAACAAGTGATTTCTAGAGTTAATTGCATTTATTCTTATATCGAAATCCAGTCAATTGATCACGCCCTGAGATACCAAATGACCCTTGGAACTGAGCAGTAACAAAAATCTGGACAGGGAAATATTGGAGCAGATTAAGCCATTAAACTACCTCCTGTTCATCCACTACTTTCTCATAGACCATAATCGCCTTGTTTACCCCCCAGAATTTTGCATAACTATTGTTTCCAATTACTCCTGGGTATTACAGTCGTCCCAAGGGAAATCCAAGACAATGGTTATGCAAAGTTTTGGGGGGCTAAACACGGTGCACTACGGTCTATGACATGTGAAAATGGTGAATTAACAAACATACAAATAAGGTCTGTTTCAAGCTTACAAGATGTAATTGATAAAAGTAAACAAAAGCTAAAGCCCCTTTCACACCAAAGCTGAAACATTTTTAAAAACTGTTTAGTTAAACAAGGTTTAAAGTTGTTTTCTTTATAGAAGCTGTCTGCTTTTATTTTTATCAATTGCAAAATGTGTGCACTTATGCAACTTGTTAACGTTCATTTAAATTCTCTGTAAAAGCCTGTGTTCTAGTTTTCTTTTACTGGTTTAATTTTTTTATGCTCAGTTTGATTTTGGTGTGAATGGGCATACGACGTACTGCGAGGTCTTGAAAAACGTTCACTGTCTTACTTTGCTTCTGCTTTCAGAAAAAACTTGAACATGGATCGTTTCTTCAAGACAAAGTGAAGGAGTGTTTCAAGGATAATCCCCATTGTCTAACACTAGTGATGAACCCTGATGTATGTATGCTTAAAATGTTTGTGCTATGCCTAAGAATGGCAACATAAGAATCAAAATTCGACACTAAGAAGTTATATTGTAGGACAACGAAATAAAAATGTTTATGGTAAAATAAGATGTAAATTTTTAATAACGATATGTAGGTTCTTATAATGATTTGCGCCGTCATCGGCAGTTGACAAAATGAACACTTCTCCTTTTTTCTGTTTCAACAGCCAGAGTATGAGAAAGATCTAAACAGAAAAGAGCAAGAAAAGTTACATAGCAAAGTGAGCATTCTTTCTGAGGAAGACAAAACTATGATTTATAACAAAGGTACGAGGGCTTGCAGTGGTGATTGCTTAGCCTGTTCCATTAGCTCATCTATCAATCTGATTCTAGTTTAACACCTTTTTATTAATATTTACAGTGGAACCACGCAATGCGACCACCGTAGGAGCATAAAATCCTTTTTCGAATAAAGAGGTGGTCGGATCTAACGGGGTCTTCTAAGTAAATTGGCTCAGAGATTTTTACGTTTAGGTCGATTCGAAAGAATATTGTTGTTAATAACGAGGTGTTTACAGAAACGGGCTGATTGTAAGGCGAGGTTCCACGCGCGGTACGTTGTGTCTTTCAGAAGAGCGTTTTGATCTTACACTTGTTTAATTGAAACACTTCTAGGGATTCAATTGGCGGAACAACAAAATGCATCAGAGGATTTGTCCTGTCTTCCTAGGATGACGATTGAAGGTGGGTATCGTTATCTTTGCACGTACATATTTTGGTATGATTTAATAAATAAAACACGCGCAACAGTTAACATTTACTGTTACTTCTTCTTTTATACTCTTTCCATTGGTGGTTTTTAAATAGAACAGTGGTTGGTGTTTTGTTAGCGTGACCTACATCCATGAACAAAAGTCTTTTGGACAATAATTCCTTCATAAAGCAGTGTCATCTTTCAATAAATGCCTTGCCTTCCGGTTTGCCCTTCTCCACCCTAGACAATGTTGAATCGTGGGAGCAATTGCGAATACACTAGACTGCAAAACAATCGGATTTTTTCTCAAAATCAGTAAAGAAATCGATAAAACGTGGCGTAAGAGTCTTACGCGCGTGAAGCTCGCGAGCCTCACACGCCCGTAGCGTCTCTCCCCAGTCTCGCTCTCTGTTCTTAGCCTCGTTCCAGACCTTTCGTTTGACTGCTCGCCATTTGAACATGCAGAAATACGGACTGTGTTGCAGTCTACGAATGCACAGGTCAACGTTGTATGTGGGGTGGACAAGGGGCTGGGCATGAGTACCTTTCAAACGGACTACAAATGCAAATTTGTCGTAAGACGTTGGTCTATCATTGTAGTCTTCCCAACATAAGCCTATCTAATGTATGGGTTAAGTTCATAAAAAGGTCGACGTCTAGCTCAGTTAAGTTCGTCTGAATGAGCCTTAAGCGTCCAACACGTTGTATCCGTCCGCTTCGGACGGAGAGAACGTCTGAAGATCGTCTCACATGCGACAAATTAAACTAATAAATTAATTAAAAATTGTATGATAATGTACATGCATCCTCGTTTGGGAGAAAATTATCACTGATCTCATTTAGTTGATTGGTTCGACGTGTCCTAACTGACCCAACTCAATTTAGGTCGACCCAAATTAGAGTTTGGTTCGTCTCATGAAAAGTTCGAGGTTTGGCCTAGTGTCCTTATCCATGGCCTAGTTTAATGGTTCCAAATGAATATTCTTTCCTTGAGCAAAGCCTTAAGCGTTTAACTGCAATGTCAACTCTTTTTTCTTTCGTTCTTTTCACCTGTATATAGATATTGATCCCCTCATCAAGCCCGTTACATTGGAGCACTACATCTCTGGTATGTTATATAAATACAGTCTAACCGCTATTAAGCGGACACCCTCTATGTAGCGGCCACTAACTAGATTTCCTGTGGAGAAAACATGTCCTATCCCCCAGGGTGACGCTTTGCCTAGTCCCTAGGCCTTATTATTCTGCGCGGACAATGCGTTTCAGGTCACGTGGTCCGAGCGAAGAAGTGAGGCGTTTCCCGCGCGTTCGCCTTGGATACGTCACCGAGAAGGTGCATTGACCGAGAAGGCCTGGGAAAACGACGCTTAAAAGGACGAAACGAATGACTGTCTTGGTGACCATTGAAAACTGTCCGAAAAAGTCCCTTGATGAGATAAGTCATTGAAAGTGAGAGCAGGTCTAAGGGTCGATAAGGGAACACGGAGACGTAGCAAAGAATGTTAATTGCTAGTTTCTCCCTTACGAAGTAACGTGCTTACGAAGAATCTAGTGCGATGGTGATCTTGATTTTGCGGTTAAAGCTAAAGATCTTTAACGTTATCCAGGATCTTTAAAAAGCCAGTTATCCATCCAGAGTTATACAGAAAGTGTAAATGTTACTCTCATTTCTCCTGCACGAAGCAAAATGCTTAAATAAACGTCTTGTGAACGTGATCTTATGCTTAATCTTTAAACGTTGTCCAGGATCTTGAAAAAGCCAGTTATCCATCGAGAACTATATATCAAGTAAACACTTCACCTATACAGTTTTGAGATTTTGAAGAAAAATTGTACAAACCTTGCCTTGTGTATTTTTCCAACAGCTGGTGTTCCTGTGCAGTATTGTGAACAGCCCACCAATGGTATAAGCTACTTTCGGGCAATCTCTAGTATCACGGATATACCTGAGGAGCTCAGGGAATATTTGCCTCTCTTCTGCTACATCCTTACAAAGTACGATATCATAAGCTTTGCAGCCGTGTCAAGTTGTGTGTTGAAAGCTAGTAATTTTGCAGTGGCTTTGGTTTATCACCAGCTGCATGTATTTTTTGTCCAATTCTGATTGGTTCATTTGATTGTCTTGTCGTTTGTGATTGGCTAGAAAATTCGCGCCACTTTATCAACCAATCAATCAAACGCGTTTTCCCACGCTTTTCACCGGCTGCATGTATTTGTTTCGTTTGTGATTAGCCAGAGTAACCACTTTGTGTTTCTTTATCGCGAGACCCTCAAAATCACTCAAAGGACACTCAAATTTGCTAGGGGTTCTTGGGAAAAGTGGGGCGTAGAGCCCAGGGAATGGTGCAAGAAATAATCATTTAAAAAATCGTATGGAATAAACAGTACTATTCAAATGTTCTGCCAAAAAGGTTTCATCTGAATGGTAATACCACAGGATTTCATCCGGAGACTCAAAAGTTAGAACCACATACTAAATAAACCATGTGAAAGTACTGTTAAAGAGGTTTCATTTGAATGGTCACACCATAGGATTTCATCCACAGACTCAAAAGTTAGAACTACATACTAAATAAATAGGACCATGTGAAAGTACTGCAAAAGAGGTTTCATTTGAATGGTAACACCACAATATTTCGTCCACAGATGTAACAGTTAGCACTGACCAGTAATCTCGTTATAGCGCAAAGGAGTGAAAAGGGTTTTAAAAATTGTATATTTTGACATTAATATGAAGCGTTTTTCTCTGTTTTATAGGATGGGTGCTGGACATATGAACTATATGGAATTAGATCAATTGATAAAGTTGAGAACAGGCGGTATGGGGTTATCAACACATATCACAACTCACCACAGTGACTTGAACGGGTTTGAACAAGGTCTTGAATTTTCCTCCCACTGCCTTGACAGAAACCTCCCTCACATGTTTTACTTGTGGTCGGAAATATTTGCCAGGTTTGTGTAGTTAATTGTTTCCTTCTACTCGTCCTTTTACTTTCTTGGGCGATTATTGGTAGTGTGATGGTGAAAACGCTAGTTTCATGTTTCAAGTTTATTGCTTGCACACAGTTATTGATGCATTTACAGTTGTACTGACCTGCAGGTAAAAGCTAGGCAAATCGCGGCATGTCAGTCTCACAAGTTTCATTTATACGCTATTTTGATATTGTGTTACGAGGAAAGTTTTGAAACGTTTTACAAAGGATAGAAGATCAATAAAAGAAAACTCATAAAAAGGACTAAAAATATTTTTGAACAATTGATTTCCCGGGACTGTACGCCATCTGTTGGTTGAGTTTGTTGTTGGTTCTTGTCCTTGCTGCAGGAGGTTTTTCTTTAAGCTTCGAGCGTGAGAGACAATGGATTAAAATTTTTAAGTTGCCTTTGCGAGTTATTATACAGCTACCAGTCTTGAAAAAAGGTATGTACGCATATCTTGGCAGTATTGGAGCCATTAGTTAGTGATCGACTTTTAACATCATTGCTTACAAAAAAAAACTCAGAAGTGACAAAGTTTTCATCATCCGATTCCTCGTTAACCCTTTAAACCCTAAGATCAAAATTTGAATTGTCATTTGTTGCCCCTATTCAGTTCCCACAGAAGCAGTGGGGAGAAGTTGATAAAATATCAAACAAATTCATCTTGTGTGATAATATCCGTAATTCTCATGACCACTCTGTTTTACAAAGCATTGATATTACATGGAGAAATTTGATGCTGATCACTCTTAGGGCTTAAAGGGTTAAACGCTTGAACTTAACGCGCAATTCCACCTCCAAAAACCCCATACAGTTTTACGTTTGTGCTACAGTTTGCACAAGAAAACAAATAAGCAAACAAACTTCATATTAACATTTGTTCATTTATTGATTGCAGACCTACACTAAACAACCCAGATCTTTTGCGGACACTGGTAAACTTGTTAGCTTCCGACCTAGCAATGTCTGTAAGTCATTCTGGACACATGTATGCAATGATGCTGGCATCAAGCTCTCTCTGTCCGGCTTCTGGTCTTGTTGAGCAGTTTGGAGGTCTCTCTCAGGTAAGGCTTAGATACTGACGCATTAGCGAGTGAGTCAAACTCTTTTATCCAGTTATAGAAATTATATGGTGTGAGCATTCAATTAAAACTTTTTCAGCAGTACTTTCAAATGGTATTACTCTATTTGACAGTATTTTTTTTCGATATAACTTGCACGTTACAAGTGGTGAATACAGCCTAGCTTTTAGACTGCATGTTGATCTAAGCAACTGCAAGTCATTCTCATTTAGTGTGGAAGGTTTCTTGGGCACAGATATGATATGAGAATTCCGACAAAAAACGCTGTGCGGTGGAGAGTTCTTAACACACAACCGTGCGACACTTATTTGCGTATATTCTGTTTTCAGGTCTTATTTATGAAGAACTTAGCTGAAATGGAGGACTTGACGCCAGTTATAGAGAAATTCAGCACCATTGCAGTACAAGTCCTGGAGGGAACACAATTCAGGTGAAACAAAAAAAACAACAACTGCAAAAATTTTTACAGGGGTGAGGAACACTGAGAACCTGTTAATCAATCGGGAAATTCAACAAATTTTCTTAACTGAGTGAGAAAAGGTTGCATTTTTATCCGGGCCTTAGGCTGATTTTGAAACGCAACACTTTATTAACAAGCAGCAACAGATTTGGAATATTTTGATACAGGCGTTCACTAGTAACTTCGATGAACTGACCGAAATACCTAGAAACCAACAAAATTACGCCAATGGTTTTGTATCATCAATGTCATCACCATCATTTTAATAGGCTGATTTCTCACCATTTTTTACTGTAGAGCATATCCGTATCCGAGTTCCCCCAATGCAAGGCTATTGTCTCTGGTTGGGGTTCAGTAAACACCATTCTATGCATGAGCCAAACTGAAATTAATTTATTAAGAGCAGAAATGCTGGACATTACTTTAACCGCGTTTAGGTGATTAAATTAAGATTACTTTAGGCGAACTTTGCGGCGAACTTGATGGGCGAAATTGATTTATTTCTGTCGAAATTAAACTAGCTGACGATTAAGTTCAGTTTATGAACATTTCGGCTTTTAACCCAAACCGACCGTGTTATTTTTCTCGTTCCGCCTTCTTTGCTGACTGAGTTTTTGTCGTAGGTGCGCTGTGAACACTACAGCTGAAGGCCGAGAGGCGGTAGAAACTGCTTTAGAAGGCTTCTGCGATTCTCTACCCAGTAGCCTGTACGAAGAATCATCTCACGTAAAGGTATATTTCAGTTTAAACGCTGGCTTTCAATATGTGATGACCTTAGTGTTGCATTGCTACTTCGTGAATGGGTATCAAACCCTCGCGCCAGTTTGTCAACATTTGAAGCTGCACCAACCTACACCCCCCCGTAAGTGGACACATAGTTCGGTTTTAAAAAGTCTGAACTGGCCGGCCAGACCGTTCATTTTGAAAATGAAATACCAGTCCTTTCCAGTAGGCATGTCCCGATTGCGCTGGAAAACTCGCCAAAAAGTGCTCAAATAGAGCTCGAATTTTTGAAAAAGTGCTTGAAATTTCGAAATAGTGCTTGAAAGTTTCTTGTAGTTTTTAATTATTTCCTAGCAGAAGTTCGTTAATTTTCTTAGTTTTATCAAAGCTTTAACCCTCGATTTTCTAACAGGTGACCAAACTAGAAGTGAAACATCAGTGCCAGTTTTTTTTTTCAAAATCGACTGTTTTCATAGTCGCGTGACGACACTAAAAACGACTGTGTAGCAGACTACTGTCTTCACGGTTAAAAGGATAATTGTGCATTTTCATGGCAACAGTCAGGCGACAAGGTGGAATTATTCAAATTCATGATAATAGAATTACTTGGCTTACTCAAAACGTTTCGAAGACCAAATATTACATTCAACATATGGAATATTGTAAAAAAAAAAGCGCTCACAGTAAATGTTGCCTAAAAAGCGAAAAAATGGTCAAATTCTGCTCAAAAGTCAAGAAGTGCTCAAGAGTGCTGGAAATGTAAAATAGTGCTCCAAATTCGAAAAAGTGCCGAAAAAGTGCCCAGCGCAATCAGGACATGCCTACTTTCTAGACATTTTTTACTCAAACCCATCACTGCCTTGCATACTTTTCTTGAATAAACTAGCCTGCGTAGCAAGCGTTTCCTTGCGAGGTTCGTCTAGAAAGCTACTCGACTGGAAACGCTTGCTACGCAGGCTATGAATAAACTGATCTGGCTGGATGGTCCTGATTAATAGTCAAATTCTCTAAACGACTGGACTTGTCTGGCCGGACAAATCTGACAAATTGTAAGCACTGTAATTTATTGGATGAGCTACAGTGTTAATGTATGTTCATTAAAATCTCTCTAGTTGGTTTTACAACCTCCGCCTTTATCCGCTCACTTTTCTCGTGTGATGAAGCATAGATGTATATATTTGAATCACTGCCCTCGCAAGGCATGTTCAAAGTCATTGTGTCCTACCCTCAGAAATCACATGACGTTGCATTGCATAATAATATTTTTTTTAAAACAACCACCTTTTGACTTTAACCTTCAGAACCCAGACTTCAAGCCAACTGCTGCCAAGACCCATTTTGAGGTGCCTTTCCCGGTGAATTACATCAGTAGATGCCTTCCTACTGTACCATATACACATGAGGACTTCCCTAAGTAAGTTTATTGTCTGGTGTTTGGTGGGTTATAATCATCTCCGACGACTCCATGATCTCAATAGGACTTTTGCAGTAGTTGGTCAGATGATTAACTTCCTGTCAAAAACAGTTCTCTTTGAAAAAATGATGTAAGCAGGAGCTGATAGAGCATATTCAAATTAGAGTGTCTGTTACCAAAGCCACCGAACTGTTTTCATGTTTACAGGAAGTTGATCACGTGACCAACTATTGGAAAAGGCCTATTTCATTTTGCAAAATATGAGAAAAACTATTCTGTGCTAGAGTGCTGCTATAGTTGTTTTGTTTGAATGGTTCAGTACACCATGCCATCTTATCAACAGGTGCAATTAGTTGTTTCACAGTCAATATCTCAGTTGACTCTGGGAATAGCAGGGTCAAACAATAAGTCTATCAAAACCCAGTTTTATGTTTACTAACCTACAAGTAACCGCCACCTGGTTAGCTCTATTGGATAAGCCCCGGTCTGCTGAGCGAGAGGTCACGGGCTTAAACCCCGGCCGCACCAACACCCAGGGTCTTAAAATTACTGAGGAGAATGTGCTGCCTTTGTTGTGACATCTACAAATGGCTAGACATTCTAGTCTACTCGGATAAGGGCGATAAACAGTAGGCCCCGTCTCACAGCTCTCTCACTGTTCTGATTCTTGTGGGACGTAAAAGAACCCACACTGCTGTTCGTAAAGAGTAGGGGGCGTAGACCCCAGCGGTGTGGTACAACCTTTCATGGGCTGGGTGCGTAATGAAGGGGTTGATATCAATTGAGACGCAAGACCTGTTTCATCTCCTGTCATCGTGTTGAGTCACCGTGGCGAATTCAATAAAGTAATGTAAGTACAGTTAAACCTTGACGCGGACACAAAGTGGACGGAGCACTCAACGGATGATCTTTAGATTTAAGGATTGTAAGAAGTTTGGTTTCTTTAGGAACAAGAGAGCTCTCCGTAGTAGAGAGAAGTGTTCGTTTGGAGAGGTTCGACTATATAACTGTATTGCAGAATTCTTTTTCCTTGATTACTTTCAAGTGATATGTTTTGTTTTCGTTTTCTGTGTTTGCTTTTATTAATTTATAGTTCTTTTAATGGTCTCTTTCAGATTAAGAATCCTGGCTAAAATGCTTTCGGCAAATTTTCTGCACCGCGAAATAAGGTATTTTAGAAACGCGGTCATTTAAAACAACAGAGCTTTTAGAATATATCTCTTGAAGTTGTTTTACTTTTTAGCTTCTATCGCGATCCAAAATATTCGTTGACTGCCTATTAAACCAACGCAGCAACCTCTATAATAAGCTACCATGAATTATTTCACTGGAGGTATGATCAGTCTCTTAACGGGACTCCGTCACGGCAGTTTAGTCAGTTTAGTCAGCTCAGTTTTCCCTGTCACTCGATATGAAACTTAACTTAATAAAGAAATAACTTGTAAGACAAATATGCCTTCCGAGTGCGAGTGTTGCAATTCAAGGTTACAAAAACAGAGTTAAACTTTCTGAACCTATCAAGCTGACTATTTTTTAAAAATCCAAACTGTTTAGAGGACCGCACGTTTATCAGCTTCCTGCTTTGTATCGGGCGTTTTAACTAACCATTTCACTTGCTTTCTAGAGAAAAAGGTGGAGCTTATGGCAGTGGGGCGAAAATTGGTGGTGGGATATTCTCCTTCTATTCTTACAGGTAACAATCAGCGTGTTATCCCCTTATGACCAAGCTTGCTCGGTAAGGATGGATGGATGTTACCCGCGATTTGCTGAAGACGAAAAAAATCGATACCCAGCCATCTTGACCTAACAGGCTTAGTCATTAATGAATTTATTATATCTCCATAAGAAAATGTTTTCTTGACCAAGGGGGAAATCTAAATCTCGAGAGTCCCTGAAAAGCACATCTCGCCCGCTCGAGTACCGAATCAAAACATTCGCTTCATTTCAATCAACCGCTTGCAGAGCCGGGCATTTAGTAATTTTCCTTTTTTGAACCTCTTATAGAACCGTTTGTGCCAGTGAAAATACCCTAAAAGTCTCCTGTTGTTGGTAAATAGCAGTGCATGAAATGTGTCGTCTGAACAGGTAGAAAGAAATTGGCCAAGGGTTAATCATTACTCTTTAAATAAACGTTGGAATTTGTCATTAGAGATCTTTTACGCTGGACTGTTACAATTTAAACTAACTTCTTTACTGAGACGAAAGAGATGTAACACCCCACGTTTAGGGTCGGGGTGTTGTCTCCAATGCTTGCCCTCTGCATAACACCTTTGCATCAAACTTGGTATCAAACCTCGCACTTTTCTTCGTAGATATTAGGTTAAATCTCGCATGGGAAGACTTGAATTTCAATTTACTTTTGCCAGGGATCCTAACTTTGAAGAAACTTTATCGGCGTTTGAACACTCCGTCCAGTGGGCGGCTGAGGGAAAGTTTACGGAACAAGACATCGAGGAAGCTAAGATTTCTGTGTTGGCGCAAGTAAGTTAGGCGTATACTGCATTTGCATAACTATTCCTTGGGTACTTACCATTTACATGGGGAAACCGGAAATTCCAGTTGGAAAATTGAATGGTTCATGCCATTTTGTTTGTGAAGCTTCAGAAAATATGGGCTGTGATTTGAGGCGAAGCTGATTTGGATATACTTTGTAGAAGGTCCCATCACGTCAAATTTTATTTTTTTATGTTTTTTTTATGCACAATTACTAAGCACCCCTGTTTTCTTGTATAAAATGCTGAGTAGCTCGCCGAATCCAGTTCAGTACAAGTAACGAAAACGCTCGTGGCCTCAAGATTTTAGTAACCTGTCACGAGTAAAACGGTAAGTCACCACCGTCTGGACAAAGCCAAAAATGGCGTCAAATGTTTTTCTGTGGTAGATCTTGTTTCTGGTCGTTATTTACGTATTTATGACTGATCGTACCTCTTTGTTACCGCTTGTAAGGTTCGGTCAACAAGCGCAAAGCTTTACTTTAACACAAAATCTCTTTTGAACTCCATGCTACTGATATCGCTCCTTTAAGTGGTCAGCTGTGGTTTGCAGATCTTATTTTTTCGTTGATCTCCATACAGAGAAGTTAAAAAATGTTACGTCCACTTGCGAGTTGGCAGAGGGAAAGTGGAGAGGTTCGGGGGGGGTAGGGGGAGGAATTCCAAGTAAATGCAAGTGAATGGCGATCTCATACACAGACATTTCCTTTTGATAAGAGCTCCAGTAACTGAACAGTCGTTGCCTGTTTTTCTCTTTCTTCTTTTTAGATTGACCGGCCAGTATCTCCTAGTAACCGAGGTATGCTATACTTCACTCAAGGCGTGACAGATGACATGCGGCAGAAGCAAAAAGACCAGCTTTTTGGTGTAACCAGGGAAGACCTTATTCACGTAGCACGCACGTGAGTATCGTTTGTTTTCGAAACGCTCGCTGGCACCAGTCTTTTTCTTACTTCGTCTTCTTCCCATTCTTTGCTTGTGATTTGCGGATCTCTAAGGGCGCCATTGATAATACTGAACAATTGCTTATTAGATGAGCCCGCCTTTTTGGTGCACTATTTCTGCCATCTATCGGAAGTTTGACTTCTCTTGCACATGACAAATTTATTATCTGCTTAGGTACCTAGCCTCCTCAGATATCCCGAACTCGATTGCGGTGCTGGGGCCTGGAAACAAAATAACAGCCAGAGACAGCTCATGGACAATAAGAAGAGAGAGCCTAACATGAAATCATTGCTCCAGTGTTAAAGCCATGCTGCCCGGGCTGACGGGATTACAAGCGGATCTCAGTGTGCAGGGTCCAGTTATCCATTAATGCTATTTCGTGGATAAATCTCTATCCAGTGGATAACACAGTTGACTTTGTTACCGCCTCTCCACAGCATAGTAATTTGTCAGGCCCCAGTTGTTCAAAACGAAAGGAGAATAACGTTATATATCTACTGGATAAATCTCTATCCACAAGATAACACTATTGGTTTCCTTAATACTTATCCGTTAAATAGTGATTTATCCGATATATGGGGCTATTCAACGCTTGAACAAACGGGGCCTTGCCTGGTGAATAGCGTCGTCTATCTTTTAAAGGACCGGGGCCAGACCATTTAAGGTCATTGTCTAACGATTTCAGCAGTGTTTGAAGGCTTTCTTCTAGAACAAAACTGCGTCGACAACTTAGGGATAGACTGTCAAGCTACATCTTATGCAAAAAGCATAACATGGCAAAAAAAAAACTACTCATTTTAACCCGGTTTTAATTTTGCAAGGTTACTTGAGCCCTATATAAAGACTAGTCTCGCAGCTTGACTTTGTGCCACTGACTACTATTTTAACCCAGTTTCAACAGAGCGTGCTTTATGGGTGGTGTGACGCATGGTTCAACTTTTAAGAATCAGAACTGCCTGCTCCTTGTTTCACGCAACGAATAGTGATTTCACCCCCAACTAATATGCTTGCAATGGAAAAGCAATGTTATTGAACGACACGCAGTCGACCACCATTTCCGGGTTTTCTTTGATTGCAATGTGTTTTTAGGGTTTTAAAACAACGTAGACAAATTGTGGCAGAACTCCTTTAATCATCCTTGAACGGTGTAGAAGGAGGATTCTTTGTAGGAATACGGTTGCCTTAAAGCACCTCCCACCACGGTATATGCTGTTAAAGGCAGTAGTAATATACAGGTGCTTAGCCAGTCCATAGACTTGTAGGCCCGGGCTTGCAAATGTTTGGTTTGATCACTGTATCGCTTGTAATAAATTATGCGTTGTTAGGGTGAGGTAAAAAGCTTAAGAGCTCAAAGTGTTGGTGAGGTCAGTGCGTGCTAGTCATAAGTGCAATTTTCGGGATATGTGGAAATGAAAGTCAGCCAGGCCTACAACTAGTCGAAAAGCCGGCTACGCCCCTGCTATAGTCTACGCGGACACCGGTCTGGATTCCCGGTTACCGGAAGTTGGAAAATTTCAAGCACTTCTAAGAGTAAAGTAAGGCAAAAAAATTGATAAACGCTAACTGTTGACGCATATAAAGAATTTCAGAAATACTCATTCTAGGTGCCGTTCGCTTGTTACCTTTTAGTTAAAACAACTATTGAAGATAAACTCTAGCCAATACTAATTTTGTTTTACTCTGTCCTGTCCAATTTGCATTTTGCCCTTTTTCATAAAATCACAAGTACAGCCCTCGCTGAACTTTATAACGTAATTGTTTTGCAAATTATAGAATACTGACAGATGTAGTTGTAATGCTCATAAAAAAAACACATTTATTGGGGGTGAAGAAGCAAATGTCCGACTTCAAATTCCGCTATGTTGGGCTGCCTGTATATCATTATGGATGGTCGCCGTTCACATTTACCACGATATCCGAGCTTAATGCTAACCTGGCAAAACATCCAGCATTCCACCACCCCACTACTGGTTTTCCGCGAAACACATCTTGGGAACGACTGCAGAAACTCCATACTGATGACGTGTCACTACCCAAATCTGGTTAGTTCTTCTGATTGGTTGAAGCAAAATAGACCAATCAGAAGCACTACTCAGATCTGGGTAGTGACACCTCATCAGTGTGGAATTTCTTCAGTCGTTTCTCTGACGCGAGGAAACCAATGGTGGCGTCTCGAAATGTCGGCTGTTTAATTCCTGAGGCTAGTTCAAAGCCGGAGTTACATTTTGTTCCTTTTATACGCGGTTAGCAAAAAAGAGATTGGACTTCGCTGAAATGTGGCAAGTAGCGGTGGTGAAAGGCATGTTCAATATTCAATGTACAGATCGCGCTTCAAAGTACTTTCTTGATGGGTAAGTTTAGTACGTGTTCTCATCAAACTAGCTTTCTAGAACTGCAACACCCTCAGCGAGGCCTTCTGTTGTGGGGTGAGCACAGCCAAGCATTTTCCCACCACTGCTGAAGGTGACAGCAGCGCCAAATCCAGCCACTTCTTGTGCCGTTTGAGAATCCACCTCGGTAATCTGCTGCCCAAATTCCTCTACCTCGCGTAAAACATTCTCGTCGAACGCAAACTTTTCCACTTGGATATCCTGCTGAAAAGAGTGAGGGCTAGAAACAAGAAATATAGGCGATTCGAGGGCTGCCTTCGGACTCATTCCACTGTCCAAAATGTTTGTCAAGTACTGTGGGATAGAGAGTGCATGTGATGGACCCGTACAGGCCACAGCTAGCACTGGTATCAGGCCAGTATGGAAAGAGGGCTCCCCCCTTTCCTCTGAAATGACTTGTGTCTCCTGGGGTTCAGGGATACCCCCATGAGGAAACTCTCTCGAGTTGCTTTCCCTCAGCGCCTCCTTTAAAGACTCTTCTTCCTCCACCGCTTGTTCGTCTTCGCTTTCCTCCAGTTCATTTTCTTCGTCGTCGTCTTGTTTGATAAGAGAATTTATGGAAGCAACGAGTCGCTCCTTTTCGTGATGAGGTGTTTGTGGCACTGCGTTTATAGGATTTGAATGCCCTTGTGGAACGGTAGGATGTGGTTTTGTGATTTCTCTGTCTTTTGTCGGTGTTAAGTATTCTCCATGAACAGAAGACTTGGATGAAGGTTTTTCCTCATCACCAGGCTGTTCTTCATATATAACTGATTTTACACCAATATGATCTTGGACGCCTTCGTTAGCTTCTTCAAAATTTTCCTCAGCTCTGGCAGATGATAGGTGGTTCAGATGAGATCTGACCCGGTTATGCGTTTTGAGGATCACTAGTTTCTGTGGCAGTTCTACTCTCGTGTATTCACGATGTTTTAAGCCCCTCCGTTTGTCCGTAAGTCTCTTGTTGTGCTTTTTAGTTACAGCGACGTCACGTCTGAGCCTTCGACCAAATTCATCGAGGCCACGGAACTCTTCCTCGAAGACAATCACAGGCTGCAGTCCTGAAGGGACTCTCCTTTTGTTCCCCATTTCTTTCAGTAAAGACTTCAGTACGATTCCTGGGCTAGGAAGACTCACGCCCTGCACAAATAATCCTGAGCCCCACAGACTGCTGTCTGTGCCATGCACCAAAGAGCACACATTGCCACCTCTGTCTACTACAACTACTCCAGAAGATCCGTGGTCCTGACCTTCCACATCCATCTCAACGCTTGTCAGCATTTCTCGCATTAGCTCATTTATTTCTTTCATGCGCTCTATAGAGCCAATTTTGTCCCACAAGTCCTCTGCTGGTTCTATTAGCCCTCGATGTGAATTGGACAAATGAATGCCAAGGTGTTCCTTGAGAAGGTGCTTTCCATTTGGAACAAAGTGAGCGAAAAATGAAATGAAAGAGCTGAACCGAGTGACAGAAGCAAGCCAAAAAAGCTTCGTAACATTGCTCAGGTACGAGTCTGTCGAACCGCCAATTCCTGCCAACTCCAACAAGTTCATTTTCTCCAAAATCTCAGCGCCACCCCATCCTGCGCCTGACGTCAGCACGTGATACCCCTGGTATCGTGTGCTGGCGGGCTCCGGTGACGTCACTTGATATTCAGTCATGTCCTCCATGGTGATGTAACCCTCTTGGCTTTGAACCATCTCTACCATATCCTCTGCCCAGGTTCCTTTATAAAAATAGTCCCTGCCGTACTTGGAGAGACGCTTGAGGAACTTCGCCAGTTTAGGTTGTCTGAATTGTTCGCCCGCACTGTAGAGCTGCTTTGTTTTAGGATTGGTAAACATCTGCTTGCCTGCAACCAAATGACAGAATTATAGGTTAAAATGGCTAACTTCTCCCACATTTTATATAGAACTTGCGAAGTGATGGGAAGCTTATTCGTCACAAGGGTTTTGGAAAATTTATCTTTAAACATGCAGCAATCTGAGGCAATTTTAATTGTAAATTGTTTATTGCTAGGTTTTTATTAGGTGATTCGTGTTTTTTGTTATCTTTAAATTTGGAATGGGATGGACTCACATACATATGGCAGAGCACGCTGCTGAGTCATCCCCAGTTGTGTCATTTTGTCTCATATATTAACTTGGGAAGCGCGTTGAAAGATAAGATGTGCGCGGGAGAGGGGGATATAGGGACGTGGGAGAAGGGGAGACACCTGAGTTACTCTTGTTTTAACATCAGCTTTTTGTTGGTGATGTTTCGTTTTGTTTTGGATTGCCCTTGAGAAATTTTTGTCTGCTCTCAATTCATTCCTTTTTACAACTTGACAAATTTGGCCTAGAGAGTCGAAAGAAGAAAACATGCTTATGCTTGACGACAGAGCAAAATGTGACCCAAACCAGATAGTCAACCTTTGCTCCATTTTCTCAACTACTTAGCGATGTCCTTTAACATGCGTTGTAGAATTAATGTGTAAAGTGTCCTTAACAGAGTATGATAAATGCATGATTGAGGAACGAATTCTGGTACCTTCCTTGGTTCGAAGAAGGCTTCTTGGATTATAGTTCTTCTTAATGTTCTCCGCTAAGTGAGAAGGAAGTTTAAAACCCTTTTGAGAAAAGTACTTTGCAGGTTCCAAAAGCTTGGACAGTGGAAGCCTCCCATACTTCTCCGAAGCAGTAGACACGGCTGCTATGAATCCTGGGACTAGAACCGAGGCACCATTGCTGCGGTCCGAATGATGTTCAGGCATCTGAGCCAGGTCTACGTAGTAAGGCTTGTTCCAGCCCCCATCAATGTTGTAAGTGTCACCCGTTGAGCTGTCATGGTATAGAATGTTGGCTACACCAGCAAACGACACGTGAGAACCTGCCGCCAAGACGATCTCTGAAGAAAAAAAAAAGGTGTCCTCGAATTAGCTCGAGTCCTCCAGTCCCAGCTACACAGAGACAGGAATGGATCCTGACAGAGATGAAAAACCGTCTTACGTGTCAACTGGACTTACTACTGAGTACGAGTACATACGATCAAATCTAGCCCTCGGCAAAAAAATAGGTGACTTACAGCCAAGGTTTGGAACATTACGTCCTTAGGGGATCACGTGAGATTGCGCGACCTGCCAGCTCAGCTCAATGTCCTCAATGAGTTCTCGCTCTGCGAGGCGATCGAATTAAACAAATTGCGGAAATTCAAGCAGTGTATCACTGTTGAAAAGGAAAAGTACTAAAAATGTCTCTCCAGGGAAAAGTGTTATTGTCTATTTTGGTTTTTTTTTATTTAGTTTTTACAAAGTACTCTCAGCATCGCTAACAGTCTTGCTTAAACTCGATACAAAGTAAAATCCCTTAAAGTTAAGAGCCTCTGAGTGCCTGAGTGTGCGTCGGTGAGTTTTGAAAATTAATTCCACTAACGTTTATCTTAGTTCCCTTTAAGTATGAATGATAAGGTGCGATTACAAAGTTTAATTGATTTTCCCTTATCATCAAATTTTGCCCCACGTAGACCTGAGGGGGCACAACCAGCGTCAATCTACACAGCTTAATTAGATTCTGAGAGACGTGACTTTGAGTTTATAAGCATGGTACTATTTGTGACTTACTTCGTCACTTGTCTTTAGTTCTGACCACGATCATCAGCGAGCCCTATTGAGTAATCTTGGCTAAAATTGTTCAGGTTTTATACAAAAGTCAAACAGTGCGAAGAAACACACACTGATTGTATAAGTTATATAACAAAGTGCTTTTTCGATAAAGAAAGTATTTTCGTGATAAGGTGATAACTTTTTGAGGAGCGCATCCTTTCAGTCAGCTGGTCCACTCGAAAGGCATAAACTAAATATTGGATTATGGTCTTATCTATAGAACCTTATAGGAAATGGTGCAAAAGAACACTGCGATTTTTCAAGAGCTTAAAATCGTTTTTCTGGGATTTTAAGCGCCCGTCTTATACGGCAAGACGCGTTTAATAACAAATGGTTATTTTCTTTTCTGGTAAAATTATTTTTGGCTTCCACTCAAAACATGAAAACAATTTAGACCGGACTCTGGGAAACTATTAGCTGGTTCAACTTTAAGCCGAATGCATCCACTTGATGGATGTAGGACACCCTAAGCTGTCTCTTATCTCTGCTTTGCAGTCTATCCCCTATATCGGGACCCCACAGTAAAAAGAAATTCGCGAACTTTAATGATCCTCCGAGCAAGCAGGTGCAACCACTAGGCACTCTCATCAATGCACTCTCATCAATGTCATGTCGCGGACCATCACAGTTGTCGAATGATGGTATTATTGTGTAAGGAAACAATGGTCCCGGGGGGTGGACTCCGCATATGAAAGGGGCGGGGATGCTAGTCGTCTCGCTTAGGGGTGTAAATTTCGGATTTTGGTCTCACTTAGGGTGTTCTGGGCAAAGCGCCATCATATTTAGCCGTGAAGGTCTTGTTTAGGGTTGCACGGGAAAAAATATAAAAATGTATATATTGTCTGTGTTTTAACATGGTTTCTTTTAGGGGTCTAAAAAAGCTTGGGCAACGCCCCAATCGGTCTCCTTTAGGGGTTTAATTCAAAATTTCTGACAAGCATCCCCACCCTTTTCATATGCGGAGCCTCTCCCCCCGGGACAATGGTCAGCCTGTAAACATTTGCCATTTTTAATCCACAAATCGTCAGCAGTGAACATGAGAGAAATTTGCTTTCTCGATAACGAAAAAACGAGGCAAACCTCTCAGTATCTGCGTAAAACGGGGGAAGCTCCTTGGTGAGGTTGTATTAATTTTGGCGAGTCGGACAACGATGAAGATGGTGTGCGTGAAAATAAAACAGCCGTTTTTGAAACTCACAAGGCGAAGTAAAAAACTTATAATAATTTTCTTATTTGTCGTGTCGAATTGTGCTTATATGCACAATTCGATTTAAGTTTCTTTTATAAAGCTTAGAAGTCAAGTAAGAAACAAGGAGCATTTGGTCAGATCTTCCTCTTTTGTTTTCAGGTAAGAGAACTGAAACTATACTTGGAAACTTTAACCCCGGCAGAGAACCGTATCAGCAAATTACATCCAGTCACTATAAAGTCTCACTGTGATGGCCGCGTGCAAAAAATTGACAAAGACACTATAGTATTCATCTTCGGTTCGTACACTGGATGGCGCCATAAATATTTCAATTTACCATAATTTTGCTCCTCGGCTTTGGTGATTTTTTTATATAGAATATCAATCAGGAAAATTGAACAATGACGCATGACAAGAAACCGAGAAGCGAAAAAGGTTGAGACATTAGCAAAACTGAAAACTTTTGTAGTGCAATGCACATTAGGTGTACAAGGGATTCTCTCCCTCCCCTCCCCTCCACCATTGGATTTAAGCGGATACAGGGGCATAGAATAGCGTATGATCTGATTAACCCCACTTTTGGTCTAATGATATGTTATAGTGTCTCGAAAACGTTTTAGACTAGCTGTGGCGAGCAATGCTTTCCTTGTACATTCTTTATTCCCGCAACAAAAAAAGAAAATTGACTCATGCAAAGGTTGTGGCTCGGATAGGCCTCGATAAGGTCAACTGAGCAGCCTGGAATGTGTTCACATAGGATCACGTCTCAAAGATTCTGATAGAATTGATACTGAGCTAAAAGAGAGACACTCACAGATACCATGTTAAAATACAATCATAGGGCACACAGAAGCATACTGAGCAGCAGGGAACCCTGAAAAACAGTAACAGATACTCGCTAACACGAATCGTAGCTTATTGTTTTGCAAACTGGTTATTCAGATAAAGGGAAGATAATTTTTATCAAAAGATACACATTTGCTTATCGTTAGATTGCGACACCCAGCCGGACGTGCAGTTCTTAGTGAACTGAGTACGACATGCATTTCACTTATTTATTTCTTCAATTTTTTTTCCAATCTAGAAAAAAACGAAGTTAAAATGTCCTCGAGCGTATTAAAAACATTTTGCAACTGCTCCGGAAAAACATCCACGAAGCTTGCTGATCAGCGAACGATTTATTTAATATTTATTTTTTCTTTTTTAAATTTGGTCTACAAAGCCGAAACAGAAGTAATTCAGTTATGACTTTTTGCCCAGGTGAATCACTTGAATACTTGCAGTAAGTTTAATTTTCTTTTGTCAGTTTGAAATGTTAACAACTTGAAGACTTGTTGTGCCATTTCCTTTTTTCCCATATATGGCCTATCTTATCCCAAAAATTAAACAAATTTGACATCTCTAGTACATCTGTTTTGAGATAAAAAGAGAAATTATCTTTTTTACTGTTTAGAAATATTTTTTGTTTAGGAAACTTAGTCAGCCGGTAACGGATTTATTCCAAGAGGGCGAGATATATCACAAGCTACAAAAAAACAAACAAACAAAACAAACAAACAAACAGCAATATGTCCAATATTAATTTAGATAGAGTTGTATGACAATTTAAATGATAAAAACCAAGAACTGAATGAGTTCTTCGCGTAGGTCACTAAATCTTCGATATTTTCGTGCACTCGCATTTTTAAAGTTAGACAATTTACAATTTGATTTAGGACACGAAAAACCGGACACGGACGCATTTGGGATTTAGTATCCCGACCCCGAAAAAGCAAAATAACCTTCCGATCTTGTCAAAATAAACCACTTAAAAAGTGTCAACTAACTACGATCGGTGACACAAAAAGGGTGTATTGTCTTAAATATCTTAAAGCTTAAATCTTGGAGATCTTCATCTTTACTTGTAACCAGTTAGACTTTGTTAGACTAGGTTCCAAACTCGAAAAACCGTTGGCAGAAATCGTCAAGGACTAACTTATTCCACAGTCTGGTAGAGTTGAATTGAAACAGCCTTTCGATCTTTTCAAAACGGTCCAATTAAAAGCAGGATCAACTGACTAAGAACTGGGTTTGAAAAGGAAGTGGTATCGTTAATACTCCAACGCCGAAACAAAAATCTTTAATCCTCTTCAGGTTACAGAGTGTATTAAAGACTGCATTGTCTCGTTTATTTGGTTTCTTAAGTCGTTGGCAGGAAACAGACTAACTGAAGTGCACTTGGCCTATTTTTTTGACTCTAGTGATATAATTTGAATTAAGAAAGAGCTTATTGAACTGCTACAAAAAAATATTCAGGCAAGTTAAGTTTAACCCGGCCTACCTGTAAAAGCTGTTGTCAAGCACGCATCCATTGCGTTCCCGCCTTTTTTCAGCGTCTCTACCCCCGCGTGCACAGCCAGAGGGTTGCTTGTTCCCGCCACCAAGCCTTTGCCGTCGCTGAAGGCCAGAGGCTTAGGCCGACGTCTTTGAGAATGCTGGAGCGACAGAGCTTCTAGCCTTTCAAAATCTCTTGGAAACCATGTCTTAGGAGAGAGTGAAACACTATCCGGTGGAAGAAGAGCTGCCACATTGAAAGCACATCCCAGAAAAAGAAGCCAAACAGAAGTTAGCTGAATCATAATCGACTTACTACACGCGCGGAACTCACGAGGATACTCTCGTAAACAAGGCAGTTGTTGAGTTGTTCGGTTTTATAGTCTTAAGTGGTAATTCAATAGTTGTTATTGATCCGCCGTGGTTGAAAAACAATACAACGGAATGTGACATTTGTCTGAGCGCGGTATAAACGTTTTAAACCTTGCTTTGAAGCCTTCCCGGATCTGCGCGCGCAAATCTTTTTGGCGAGCGACATACACGTGCAGCTTGTGACCTCATGACAAACGACGAGAGCCTTTGATCAGATTTCAGTTGTGATGATTTGTTTAATAAACGCAAATAAACCGGAAGTGAGCAGCGAATCATATTGAGTGCTACAAATTTTTTGAATGTCAGACTCTGACACTTGGCAAATAATAACTTAAGCTCATTTTACATGTAGTGCTAGGTGCATGCTGTTTTAAAATTCCGTTTATTCACAGCGTTTCGGGACATGACAGGCGCTGTAAAAGAAATTACGAATCATGCCATTTAGCAGTAGCGTCTTTAGAGTCTGTTCTAACGAGATGAGATGAAAACAGAATTGAATGGTTTAACTTCTTCGGCGGACAGAGCAAAAATGGAAGACGAATCTCGCGAGCGAGCTAATGGTTTTCTGCCCGCAGGAGTCGCTCAAGTACCAAAAGAAGAATTACAAAGATATGTTAAATGTAAACGTATCGGAAATTACCTGCTTGGAAAGACGATTGGGGAAGGATCGTTTGCGAGGGTAAAGCAAGGATTTCATGTTCTGACCGGAGAAAAGGTAAGATATATAACTTTGGCGACGCGAATATCCAGTGAATTATATTAGGTCGACTCGTGGTCAGTCCCTTGCATCATTCGAACAGTACGGCATGTTTTACCATCTCTTAATAATTCCCAGTCCTGTGAAAAGGAATGAGCTGTTTATGATTTGCCGAACTCAACATTAATACAAGGTAAAAATAAAGCGTTATCTTGCACTAACCTTGGCAACAAAAATTTGTCACATAGCTGCCAGGCTTAGCGTTTGTCGCCAATTTAATTAGAGTGCAATGTGCGTGAAAATTATTATTGGCAGTCATTATTTCATTTGTGTTCATAGCCTATGATATGGCATGTTTCACGCAATGTTTTTTGCTGTATTAAGTTATTTTTGGAAATACGTTACACGTTACTCACGCACAAGTTACCAAAACGTATTTTCTGCAAATTTGCCCTCTTCCAGCTCAAATTTCCAACTTACCTATTCGGCGCATTGACCTGCTACATAAATTAAGAAATTAAGCGATTAAAAACGTATTATCATGCGAAAAACATCCAAATTTGTTCCCAATTTTGATTTATAGTTCGCCATTTTATAAAACCAATATATCAGTCTGACATATTTCAGAGCGATTTTTCAACTTCCGTTTTTGACGAGTAGCTACTTAACCACGCTTTGAATATGCTGTTGAAGCTAACCATAAACCATTTTTCACATCAGGATTTCTGCTGCTAGTTAAAGAAGCTTTGGGAAAAAAAAACATGCGAGTAGAGAGCAAACTGAATCACCACTGTTGTAACAGAGGATTAGATAACTCCGTGGGTGATATTTTTAGTTGAGATATTCTTGGCGCGCCAATCATGTTAGCCTGCCTTCGTTTATGTTATTCCAGTCGGTTTCTCTTTCAATAACAGAAAGCCATAAACTATGTACATAAAACTGTTTTATTTAAACAAAAGCATTTTACGGTGAAAGGTCTTAGATGGTGTTGACTTTCCTATTGAACAAAACTACAATTTAATAATAATTGACTTGCATACTGTACGTAATATTGGGTTTCTTCTTTTTAAAATTCCATAGGATTATTTCGCATACCTGAGTGTTTTCGCTTTCTCTTTTCGTGGGTCTTTTTGTTTTGGGGCGATTTTAGCGATATAAAATTCGCTATCAAATTTAATCAAAAACAGCGGAAAATTGTGCAACTGCGGAAGAGTTGTTCAGGATCTATATAATGATATTATTTCATTCCCTGTATTCTGTATTGGATGTGGTGGAATGAGGAAAATATCATTTCCGATCATTTCTGATCGTTGAGCAATTTATTTATCTGAGTGATAGCAACAACTTTGTTGTCATGTAGCAAGAACATGGCGATGCTTCGTAAAGATTATTTAATTCAAGCAACCCCTTTGCAACAGACTGCACTATTGAAAAGTGTTTATGTTCTTTCTAAAACATCGTAAATAAAAATAACAAAAAACGAAGAAAATATAGAAATATAATGGTAATCATATTAACAGTAATTTAAAACCCTAGGGGACGTTTTAAGTAAGAAAATGTTCCAACTATTACAAGTTTAACACGTTTGAACTCTTCAAAAACTTTGACAGGTCGACTGAATACTTGTTAGCACTGAAAGCTGAGTTCTACCGGGCCTGTCTGGAAGCTGTTTGATATTGCCCCTCTTTTTGTACCGTTCAAAGCGATACATGATCGTACTTAAAGTAAATTCAACAATGTTGTTCTTCTCAAGAGTTTTTAGGCTTTATAAACGGCATACGAATTCTCTTAAGTACTCTAGGGCTTAGGAATTTACCGAGCTTCGTGCAGTTAGTAGAAATTTTATGTCAGTTATGGCTCTAACTCGCCTCGGTACTCAGTTTATGTGATCATGTAGAGTATATATTGCGATATGCGGTTTCAAGCTGAGGTTGTGAGTATTGAAATGTTAGGATTCCACTCATTCTCAATACCATGGAGTGCTGCAAATGTACGTGCACTTAATATACGTCCTCTGGGAGCAATTACATTAAAAAGTGTTGAAGGAACTTTTTTATGAGGACTTTCACGATCTTCTTCAGCAAAAGCGGAATAGGGCTTATTCTTCTTTTACTGCTTTTATTCGTCACGAAGTTAACGTGAATTTTCTCTCTCACTATCGACGCCGCACCTTAGTTTTATAGTTGACGAGCAACCCTTACCACCTGTGGTGACCAGCAAACTTATCTTTTTAACCCACGTGTAACCAATCCCCGCTTTACAGACACCCTCATAACCCTATTCAGACCGGGGGAGTTTTGAGGTGCCCCCTCGCTATAAAGCTGAATAACTTCAAAACCGTTCAAGCTAGGACCAAATTTTCCTAAAATTTTTCTGGGAACATTTTAATGTCGTTGTGACGTGTAGGTCAATATTTATGTTACCATGGTAACCGAGTTTTGACAGCCATGATTTTCAAAATTTGCATTTTCTCTTAAAGTATGTGTTATTTCTATTTTACTGATTGAATTATTAAATTAAACTTAATTTAACTTTAATCATCAAAGTTATTGTAACTTTTAATGAAATCCAGGCTTGTTAGTGACTAGTTTGCGAAAAAACATGAGCTTAATATGACCAAAGGGCAGATGCTGAAATAAATTTTTAACAGTGTTCATTTCTCTCAAAATTTGACATTTTGCTAATTTTTTTGCTTCCTAAGCATCCCTTAATTTATACCTCGATTTATACTAGTTTTAAGTAACATAGAACACATTTAAATAATTCAAAATGGCAGCAGAGTGTATCAACCTCGCCGTCAAGTATATTACTGAGGGTAATGCAGGGTTGAAACTTAACAAAAATGAGCTAAAACGGTTTTGTGAGTTTGCTACCAAAGAAACTCACTTCCTATTCAAAGGTGCTTTCTACGACCAGGTGGATGGTGTAGCCATGGGCTCCCCCTTGTCCCTGTTCTCCCAATCTCTTATATCTTAAATTAATAAGAAACATCAACTGCATGGATCTACTCAGGAACAGCTAAGAATCGTTAGAAACAAAGATAGAAGTAATTTAGGGTGAATCATGGTTGAAACATAAAACCATGCAATATCCTCATGTGTAAACACTGAGCTTTTACGCGTAAAAAGCGTGCAATCACAAATCACTTGTTTCACACTGAACTCGTGACAGGAGAAGTAACTGTTGAGCAAAGTGAGGTGACCAGGTTAACGGTATAAGAGCAGTGAAATAACAGAATTAAACAGCTAAAATAAATTGATCAGAATGATTAAACTAACTTGAAGCGATCGCCTCGAGTGGTTAACGCAATCCTTTCTTTCACCATTTTCCTAAAAAAAATACAAGGGGAATGAACTGGAACGCAAGTATCTTTTTCAAGTCAGGAGAGGTTTTGGATTGATCAGCATCAGTTATTCTGAGAGAACTAAGCACTGCAAGGGGAGTGTCAACTTATTCTTTTCTGCAACAATTCCCCGCGATTGCATGGTCACGTAAGATATGTTTCACTTGAAATAAGTCCCAAACACCAGATAAAGCTCTCGTTACAATTTCTCATTCAAAGCAAATGCACTTCAGCAAAATTTATCTTGAGTCTCCTGTAGCTCAGTGGTAGGGCATCTGGATTACAATGGAGGTCAAAAGTGTTGGGACCTTTCCAGTGATATTAGTAAAACTAGCGACCCCTCCCCTCCCACTTTCAAAGTTCAATTTCGAGCACGATGGGTGGAAATGAGTACTTTTTTTGGCCACGACATTGCTTGGGGGAGTGGGGGGACGACGGGATGAGCCCAAAGTACATCGAAAAATTGTCATTAGGAGCAGAGGCTATCTAACACGCTTTTTCACACAGTCCCAAGTTCTCTTGTCCCCCATTCATACAATTCCTATATTTTATGATACGGACACCTTTTTTTATGAAACGTGAAACAGATCCTACAGACCCCAAGCTTCATAAATTTCTACCACTCTGATAATACTGACATCTCTATAATATAATGCTGACACTCCATTGTGTCACTTTGGTGTCCATATCAAGAATATGTGACTATGGAGACAAGTCTTACTTACATTTACATTTACTCTCCCTAAAACGGACTCCGTTTGGGGCAGGTGCGCAGTGTCCTTCCTAGATGAGGGCATTCGGTATAGGCCTTATAGCGAGAGAAAAGGGCATAAGAAGGGCTAAGCTTTGTTTAAAGTAGTACGTTGCCTGTGGATAACTCTTTCCCGCGTGTTTTGTAGGTGGCTGTAAAGATCATAGATAAGAAGCAAGCGCACCAAGATAAGTACGTGGCTCGAAATATGCGTCGAGAGGCGAAAATTATGCAGATGATTCGACATCCCAATATTGTTCAGCTTCTTGAAGTAGTAGAAACAGAACACAGGTTAGTTATTTTGTAACCAGAAAGGTAAATTTCCTATTAACGAAGATATGTTGTTTCGGTTGGTTACCATTATTTATTTTACTCTTTTATGCGACTCACTCACTCACCCACACATCTTTGTTTTCGACAAAAAATTTGATCAGCATTCTTCTGCTAGAGTTTTCGGCCAGTCAGCCCCTGCATGGCCATTCACGAGGTTGATTTTCGTTACCAGGAAACTACCGAAAAAACGCTATGGACTATACATGAAGTTGTAATAACCGTTACGGAATACGATAAATATCTTATTTGTGAGTCTAATTTTAGCCCATGCCAGAATGACGGCTTCGCCGCCAAAACTCTCATACGCGCAAAAGCAATTCCGCAAGGCACACAGTACATTCAGCACCCAGTTTTAGACGCTGGTGTTGCCTCAGGAGCTACTTTAAAGATAGAATAGAAAAGAGACAGCGTGTTAAAAAAGAAGTGTGCCGCGCGCTTTCATATCCTGACACGCTGCTTGGAGAAAATCATTCATTCAGCCTTAGGTTATCTGCTCTTTAATGTTAGCTTGACTGGTTCGAGCTACAACAAGTGCATATCCTGTGAGCAGGCTCGCTTGAGCTTTTGTTTGAAGAAACTTTTAACGTCGGAGCCACCAGCGCGCGAGGAAAAGTCTTCTATTCTTCTCGCCAGCTTTCATTGCTGGCTCGCGCCGCTGAAATTTTCCACGAACTCGAAAAAGTGAGCCTGCTCGAAGGCTAGCCAGTGCATTAAGGTACTGTGTATATCGCTCCAATGTACAGGTATTACCTAATCACGGAGTTAGCAGCTGGGGGAGATCTTATGGATTACATCTGTTACCGTAGAAAGCTTGGTGAGGTGGAGGTTAGAAAGTTCATTCGACAAACTGTTTCTGCAGTGCATTATCTTCATCAGGGAGGGATACTTCACAGGTAGGATAGAAAGAGAGGTGGTTTTTTCGTGTAAAACTTCTCTATAATAGCATTTCCAAGGATAGTGATAAATAACATCACAAACAAATATTGGAAACCTTCCCAACTGGCGGTAGGAAAGCCAGTTGGCCATTGACAGCATGGTCTAGGAATCGGAATTATATCGAGAAACCAATCCAGGCTGTGGTCTTTGAACGCGCCGAGAATTGCCTACCAATTCCAAAATCAGAGAGCTGACTAGGACACAAAGAGAATCGAGAAAAACTGCTAGGGTCAAACGTCTCTTATCAGTTTGTAGGAAGTTGCGCTTTTCCCAGGTCATTCATCGGCGTTGAAAACATCTTGCCAAGAAAAAATTGATAAGGGCAGGTGGGATGGTAAGCCCGATTTCTAACTGTTTACTGGGTACGGTTTCTGTCCGTCTTGCCTAAGATCCATCCGTAGTGCGCGAGAAAGAGCGCAGGCGCAGAAAACGACTGGTAATATGGGTATTAAGGGTAATGGAAATGTTTGTCCCGATTTCGAATCACGAGGGGTGAGCATTTTCTGTTTGATTGGGGAATGACGACGACGAGAACTGGTAACTAATAGCTACTCACGCTTACGGATGTTCCCACGAAGTCTCTGGCAAGGAAACAAGTCAGAAACGGATCAAGCAGTGAGCCGGTCAACATACGCGAACTCGCCGGCAAGCTAACACGTAGCTGCAAAAACTTTGGGGAAATAATGTAACACAGGTTGTAGGTTGTAATTTAAATTTTTTGTTCTTCAGGGACTTGAAAGTTGAAAATTTGCTCCTGGACGACGACTACAACATCAAAATTATAGGTAATTCTTAAGGTATTTGGTTGTATTTAGAACTGCGCACAATAAATTACAACAAAAAATGGCCAGACGGCAGAGGAATGTGTTTCAGTTTCCTGGATGCCAGAGGCGCGAAAAATTAGAATGAGTGAACTACCTCTTGCCTTTCCTTCCTAAAAGACAATGAATGTTCCTTTGCTGTGGCTGCTACGACGGTTTAAGCTAAAAACGGTACTTCTCTTGCCAAGTTTAAAACAGCTCTTAGAACGTTACTGTTCAGGAGAGCTCACAGTGGGCTCACAGAGGGCTATTCACAGAGTGCTCACATGATTTTCCCCCTTGTTTTCTCTTCCTTTACTACTATTAGCCTTTCCCCCGGGCTTCACGCCCTTTGGCGAAACACGTAGAGGGTTGTCTAGTATAGATGTTGTAAGTCCAATACTCTTTGTTAATATACGAAATAGGTTTCATAACTTGTATTAATATTATCTAATAGATTTTGGTCTCAGTAACACGATGTTCGCCCAATTGTCTGATGGTCATTCTACTCGGGAATTTCTCAAGACTCAATGTGGTTCACCAGCATACGCTGCTCCAGAAATCTTGGGTCACAAACCTTACGGACCTGAAGTGGACGTATGGAGTATGTACGTAAACGATTCCTCGCTGTTGATTTTCTTTTACTTTGTTGTTAAGCATCTGGTATCACCCCAGATTATGCAGGGGTGTAGTGCCATCATCACAACGTTGCCAAAGTATCGAGATAAGTCAGTTGAAAGTCCTCAGAAGCACTACGTGATCTTTGATTACCGTGATTTCTGCGATTTCTACGACTTGTAAGAGTTTTTCCTGCCAGGGAAAGTAATAGCTCTATGCTTGTCCACCCTTGGAGATTTCCCGGCGATTAGTCGCAACTTCGTAAAAAAACAAACATCGTTAAAAGTAGAAGTCTTGACTTGATCTGGTGAATATGTTTGTTTTTTCATCATCATCTGAGCATTTCTTGGGTCATGTTGCCAGGTCGATCAAAAAACTTTCTAATATGTTTAATAGAAAGAGTGGAAGCACTGCGCTTGAGCGCGGTCAAAGTTGAAAAAGTTGTCAAAAAGCTTCAATGCAGTAAAGGAAACGTTGAGATGATTTTGATAGAAGATTCTAAACTCATTTAAACTAAGGTTGCAGTGCAGACGCTTTTTTAGAGAGGGGAAGGGGTGGGCCAGCACTAGAATTTGTTCGCAGGTCGTGATGAACGAAACATAGAAGACCGGTAAAAGGGAAGGGGACGGGATAGACGGGACACATTTCCGCCCCTCTCCTCCTCCCCCTTGCCGAAACTTGGCCTTTTTTTCCTTAATCCCACCCTACTGATGATCGCACTTACTACTGGTAAATACAAAATAAGATCGACCTAAGGCAGGTTTTGTGAGCCCGCGAGACTGAGCAACCCCCACAAACCCTTGTTTTCACTAAAACCGCTGGACACAAAACCTCCTCTGGGTCGATGTTACATTGTCACAACCCTTACTACTCAGCTCAATCAGCTTTTAATTTAAACATGGTGACTGCAGGAAAGAAGAGGGACTCGCTGGTCTTCGAAAAAAAAAGCCAGGATATAATTTATGAACAAATTCTATGTTTTCCTTTGATCTTTTTCAGAGGAGTAAACATGTTTGCGATGCTGACAGGAAAGTTACCATACACAGCCGAGCCCTTCCACATCACTACACTTTACAACAAAATGAAGACAAACGACATGAATCCCATTCCTGATCATCTGTCAGCTTGTAAGTTCTTTTAGCTTTAATAAGAAAGAGCAGCGGTGTTTTACCGAGTTGAAGAAACCTTTTCGATAAGTAAAAGGTTTTTTTGGACAAAAGTATATGCCACAATTCTATCTGAAAGTCATAGAGCGATTTTCGTATGACCTTGAAATGAAAACACGCGAACAAAACAGAAGCAACAAACGAACGGCAATAGAGCAATTTGATTGGTTTATCGAAAGGGTACAAAAGAGCGTGGCTTTTGGTTGGTTAATGCGTGAAAATACTTCATGCCCGAGAACTTTCCAGAATTCAACCGATACTTCGCTTTGACGTCATACCGCAACACGATTGGCCAACCGAACAATGCCTTCTCCACATTAGGGATTCTTTGGCGGGAAAACAAAGAGTCCATGTTTTGATCTTTTCATCCATTGGCTGATAAAACAAATAACGAACACTTTCCAAAACCATATTTCAAGATCATACGAAAATCGCTGTATGATCAACAAGCAAGAGAGACTAATGAGGCAGAGATGGAATCTTAGGGCGTTGGCAGGGATTTTACTAAAAGTTATTTTTAAAGGTTTTACTTACACGGATGTCTTATTCCGGGAACGTCCGCACATTTTAATCGATTGTTTGAAACGTCATCAAGCTCAGAAGCGACTGCCTGAAGGCAATTAATGCAGGATATTGTAACGGTAAGACACCAAGAGAGTTTGCGGATCTTTCGGGATACCATCTTCCGATTAATTTCAAGTGTTGAATTGCTAAGAATAACTTTGGTGAAATTCACATATCTCAAGGGCCAGACTGTCCAATTATTCTCTCTTACAAAAAGTTAATGCTTTTATTAAAGTTTTAACTGAGTCGTCGCTCACGAGAACTTAAAAGAAAGGAAAAGACCTGCTTGTTATTTCACAGTAGTGGTCGCCTTCGGGAACAGTTGCTTACAAGTGCTCTTGATTGCAAAGCCAGAGTTCCAACGAACTTTCACAATGCTGATCGTAACAAGAGCCGGTGCCGCCTGCGAGAGTGGTTTCGCAAGGAAAGCATCGACTATATCATGATTACTTTTTTTAACTTTGACATTACTATTTTTTTAATAGCATGTAAGGACCTTATTCGGCGTTTTCTCACCTTTAATCGTGAGCAAAGGATCACGTTGGATGAGGCGCTTAATCATGAATGGCTCCGCAAGGGGTTTGATGGTCCCGTTAAGCCAGTTGTCTTCCCGAACTACCCGCGGGAGGAGGAGATGGATAAGAACATTCTCAGGCACATGACAGAGAAAATGGACTTTCATCAGAAGGAAGTCATTGATGCTGTGACGTTAAACAGGTATATCAGGGGCTTGATATTTTGTCGTAATAGTGCGCGAGTATCCCTCGAGTTCAACATATGCACTCGGTATTACCGCTAATTGTTAACGGGTTGCACCCGACAAAGGCCGATTATTCCGTAAATCCGCTTTCCTCCGGTAGGTGTAATAAGGTATTCCAGGAAAGCTCTTTGTCTAAGCCAGAAACGTATGAGCTGAAAGCGCAGTTTCGCCCAGTATTACGAATTCGATCTCTCTTAAAGATTTCTAAAAAGGGCTGTATTCGCATGCAAGGCAAAAACAAAAACAAAAACATACAACCGAATATAAGCCTCCCCGGATATGAGCCCCCCTCTAGCTTACATTGAAATGAATTCGATCTATTATGCAGTTTTGAAGAGTGATTAAAAACCAGTAAAAATCAGTGCAAAACGTATCTTGATCAGCACTGCTTTAACTTGTTTCGAAGAGTGTTTTTTTTATTCGGGTTATAAGCCTCCCTCGGAAATAAGCCCCTCCGTTTATAAGCCCTTCTAAAACCCCTTACGAAGATGTATAAGCCCCCTAGGATATAAGCCCCTCAGTTTATAAGCCCTCCTAAAACCCCTTACAAAGATGTGTAAACCCCCTCCGATATAAGCCTCTCCGTTTATAAGCCCTCCTAAATCCCCCTACAAAGATGTATAATCCCCCCGGGGATATAAGTCCCTCCGTTTATAAGCCCTCCTAAAACCCCTTACAAAGATGTATAAACCCCCTGGGATATAAGCCTCTCCGTTTATAAGCTCTTCTAAAATCCCTTACGAAGATGTATAAACCCCCCTGGGATATAAGCCCCTCCGTTTATAAGCTCTCCTAAAACCCCTCGGATATAAGCCCTTCCGTTTATAAGCTCCCCTAAATCCCCCTACAGAGATGTATAAGCCCCCTGGGATATAAGCCCCTCCATTTATAAGCTCTTCTAAAATCCCTTACGAAGATGTATAAACCCCCCTGGGATATAAGCCCCTCCGTTTATAAGCTCTCCTAAAACCCCTCTCGAAGATGTATAAGCCCCCTCGGATATAAGCCCTTCCCTTTATAAGCCCCCCTAAATCCCCCTACAAAGATGTATAAACCCCCTAGGATATAAGCCCCTCCGTTTATAAGCCCTCCTAAAACCCCTTACGAAGATGTACAAGCCCCCTCGGATATAAGCCCTTCCGTTTATAAGCTCTCCTAAATCCCCCTACAAAGATGTATAAACCCCCCTGGGATATAAGCCCCTCCGTTTATAAGCCCTCCTAAAACCCCTTAGAAGATGTTTAAGCCTAGGGCTTATAACCGGAAGTTTACGGAATGCACTTTATTTTTTCATTTACACGCCGTTTTCACCCTTGTTAGCCCATCTTGATAATAAAGATTGCATACAACAGCCATGTGTTTTGTTTCTGTCCTTATTGCAGGTCTACCCCAACAGCAACAGTATACCATCTTCTGCAGAGAAAACTGAAAAAATACTACATAAGACACCCAGAAAAAGCTAAACTGATGGCTAATGCTGAAATAACCTCAGCAAATTCCGAGTCAGTTATATCTAAGGATTCCTGTGGAACTGCTCAAAAAAAGGAAAATAAAAATATAGTAAAAAAGAGGCATGAATGTACTGTAGCTACAGCGGTGGTTTGTGATTTTAACGCTAACGAAGAAAAAACACAAAACGGACACAAAAAATCGGACTCTACGAAGTTAGACGTTCTACTGAACCGCAATCGCCTATCCTCTGCGAGTTCTGAAAATCTGTCAGCACCAAAGGAAAAACTTCCAGAAGGCAAAAACGGATCAGTGGGTGACGATGACTCCGCCAAACTTGAAAACGAGACAGAACGCACTGACAAGCCAGAAACTTGTAACATTTTCAGCAATGCGGGAATTGAAATATCCAGAAAGGACTCTTGTAATTATTCGTCTGTTGAGGTCATGGCGGTCAAAGGTCGTAGCCTGTCACTGAACTTGTCGCATATTTCGGTCGAAAGCAAAGCGACTGGAGACGAACTGAAAGACACTTCAGCCGAGAAGTTGAATGAACGGAGTGGACGAGAAAACGAAGAAAATGGAGCGAAGGATAAGACGGGATCTCCTCGATTTTCAGAGGAAATGCCCGCTCTAACCAAGGACAACAGAACACAAAAATCACCAAGAAATGCAGTTGCTAGTACACCATCTAAAGTCGGCAAAGTTTCTGTCTTTAATTCCAAGGTTATTTCGATTCCACTGCAGCATAAAAAACAGGATTCGGTAGCAGACAAGGTAGTTACATATAGAATAGTCTCCTAGCAGTCCCTAGGGATGATATCTGGGGCGAGCATGTTATGTGTGAGCAAGAGAGGCAAACACGCGTAACATGCTCGATCTTCCGCGCGACAGCAGCCTATCTACAGATAAAACAGCCTACAATCCTGGACAAAAGTCCTTGGGACAGTACTGCAATATTCATATTTTTCTGTCATTTTTCGGTTCCCTCTTAAAACAGTGCATCCTTTTCGAAATTCTCTAACTTACAGTTCTCCCTTCCCCCACCCTATACAAAGTTGAAGCTCGGAAAAAATTCTGGATACACGCGTCCAACATTGTTTGTGGGATGAGGGGAGGGGTTGGACCTGTGTGAATTGGAAAACGCCCAAGGGACACAAAAGTGTCCCAAGACGTTTGTCCATGATTGTAGCTTATGATTCGCTCTGCTGGGAGCGGTTTAACTTGTAATATTCTGTGATGGACTACGCTGAACTGTTCACGAATGCAAATTGCTGTCCTGCAGTTGCCAACGGAAGAAAATCTGTTCTTAGGAGTGAACAAGGTCAAACCACACAAACAGGTGAAGAACACAAGAAAAGCTTACCGTCTAGACCAAAGACGCGGAGAGTTTCTCAGTTGATACTGAAACGGGTCTATTGGATGACCCCTAGCATGGTGGTGGTTTAACTCGAGTTTGGGCCTGAACCCCTACCCTTTACCCTCGCCTCCCCTGCTGAAACATGTTGGTATCCAACCATTTGTAGTGGTAAGCGGACTGCAAGTGACAGTTAGCCTTAAATATGGTTACTCTTCGTCATTCATCACAGACTCAAAACCTGGAACCATCTTAGATCAGAAACCCAGTTAGTTAACCACTCATAAGTACTTTTCGATAGTTTTTTAATAAGAACCACTACCCTAGTTGCCAGAGACTTTTCACGCGTCGTTTCCGGTCTCAATCAAGCGGCCCTTACCATGACCCGTAGGAGAAGCTCAAAGTTTAACGGGAACAGTAAATGGCATCGCTCTGTATCAGAGGTTTTTTCTCGCGGTTTCCCCGCTCGTGGTTTCGGCCTGCGACCGACACCGAAGCGTCGTGCTGCACGCGAGGAAAAAATCTCTGGTAAAAAACCACCTGACAAAACATAAATTAAACAACAACTAGCAGAGGAAGTAAAGGAAAGCTATCGGGTGAATAGGTTTTTTCGCTCTACATGTCTTTAATTAAACGGTAAAGAATCGACAACTTATTCACATTTTCTTCTCTTTACAGGCTAAGTTAAGCCCCAGAAGGTTTTCACTTCCGCAAACCTTCTTTCCGCCCAGGAACTTGGGAACTAACCAGCAAGGACATCCCGTCACTAATCCCTTCAGTTTTTCATCGTCGTCATCTTCTACGGAAACAAAACGAAAGAACAGACACTCGCTACCGCCTTACGGTTTGTGCTGCCAGTTAACGGCCATTAAGGCGCAGGACGAAGAGAACATAGGAGATGTGTCACGTGATAAAGAAGACAAATCACTTACTGATCACGTGGCTCAGTGCAATGGACTTGATGCTAAGCCTGGGCTCTCGGGAAAAAAATTTCGTTGCTCACCTAAATCTAGCGAGAAAAGTAAACAGCGAAGGAAAACTGTTGCAACTTCGGGGGGGAAAGAATTGCTTAAAAGCATAAACAACACTTTAGGCAAGCTTATGGAAGTTCAAGATAGATCTGAACCGGTCAAAGGTCACTTGTTTAGATCACGGTTACCCCCCGCCACGCTCATGGGACGCAAAAGCGATTTGCCCTTAGATGACGTTAAAATATCGTTAATACAGGAGAATGCCGCTGTAGAACGAGTTAAGGAAAAAAGAAATCCTGGGCTGAAGATAAGCTGCAGGGTGAAAGATACCTTATCTCAGATGCCGCAGGTTTTATCAACAACTTCACGCAGTGAATCAAACTCTCCGAAAGTAGAAGTCAGAGGCATTCGAAGGCGAAGGAAGGGAACAAATGAAGACACTGTCCCATTGATAGCGAAGAGTGATTCTTTGTCAAGACATGAAGACGCCAAGAATTTACAACGTCACTTACATGATACCACGTGTGACTCTTCTCAAGAGACTGCACGTGATCGACGTACAAGGCGCGATTCTTTAGAGGAAGTCATTTGAATTGCTACGTGGTGGATATGCAATAGCATGGCATAATTATACGTAGTCGAATCTTTCCTTAGGGACCTTCCTACAATGCTACTTTTCCTTTCTATTACGGATAATTCTAGTTCTGGTTCCAAAGTTATCACCATACTGACAAGTTTCGGATCGTTATACTGCCCACTTACCAATCCCCTAAGCCAACATTTTGCCCTAAGTGAGAAGAAAGAGTTAACGTTGGCTTAAGGGAGGGGCAGGTGGGCAGTTTGCCAGGAACGTATAATGTTCCCAAGTTTCTTACCACCCCAGGCCTACTTCTATGACGGTGACGCCTCTCCGAAGCGGATATCTGGGAGTGCTTACCATTTGCACGTGAAAACTGGAAATGGCCATTTGAAAATCCAACGATTCGCGCCATTCCGTTTGAAAAGCGTCATAAAATATAGGCACTTTTTTAGCACTGCAGTTTTTCTTTCTTTTTTAGTCTTTTAAGCTGATTAGGCAAAACCTCGCTGAGGTTTCTTCTCCCATAAATTCAAATTTAATCGTGGTATGTTTGTACTGAAGATATTCAACTGATTTGTTGTGTAAATGGTAAGCACCCCTTCGTTTGCTTTTTTTGTTGGATGTTTAAAACTCCGATCCTTATACAGAACACGATAGACTTTATTCATACAAAGCGACGTACTCGGAGAAGGGGGAATAAGGGTTCTCCATCGAAGAATTTTTGTCTAAGGTTAGGTTTACACTGTGCGACATATTACGAATCCGGAACATTTTGCAGGCACCAGAGCTTTTTTTAGCTGTTTATGCGCAGATGTTTGGATCCGAAATAAAAACGCCTCGGTGGACCTCGGTTTGGTCACGTTTTTCCGTTTTGAATCCGGAATGTCAGTGATACTTGGTATTCGAATGAATGTTCTCAGATTTATAATCAGTTTAAACGGTGCCTGCCAACGCTAATACTCTTAATGCAATAAATCTGGGAAATTCTCCTCTTGTGTAAACCTCGCCTAAATATGATTATGGTTAGAGATTCTGCTACCGTAGGATCATGAATAACTTAGGGCCTGTTTACAAGAAGGTGGGGTACCCTAGGTAGGTGAGGTAACCCGCCTCGGTCCATATAATCTCTCATTTCAATTTGATTACATTTACATGATAGGTGGATTGACCTGCCACGTGTTACCTCACCTATGTGGGGTCCCCCACCTCTATGTAAACTGCTAGGCCCTTAGAGTAACGGAAAAGTCACACTGTTTTATCTAGAATTTTATAGAATTTCCCGCGAAATATATTATAGAAAACTGAAGACATTTTTCTTCGTATTTATAAGGGTTCATGCGCCGAAGAACTTCAACTTGTCAAAGTTACGAGTCTAGTTTAAGAACTTTTAAAATCGTGATTTTATATTAAAAACAATTAACATGCAACTTGCAACAATTAAAATTTTTGGCTCCATCTCGAGGAAATTTTTATCATTATAATAATATATTCCTTCCTCCAGAAAAACAAATGATATTTTCAGAGACGCTGTTATGAAATACTGCTTTTGGAATAAAACTGTTATAATGTGCTTCGGTTCCTCTTCTTTTCTGTACTTTCATAATTGAAAGAAAGTAACCATACACAGGCTAGACATTACTGCCAGAGTTCTCTGTGGTCGGATAAATGAAGAAAGGTAGAACATTTTACAGCACTCTCTCAAAATTACTGATGATCCAAGCGCTCAACCGGTCTAGTCACACATGAATCCACTAAATGGCCTTGCTATTCTGAAGTCTCTCTGTCGCTCAGTATACAGAACCCTTCCCCAACTGTGTTTGACGTTTCGTAGATAAAGTTTGAATTCTATCGGCGATTCAAGCTTATTCTTTTTTCCCACGGTTGTAACAATACGATTACTACGATCTTTCACTTACATTACCCCTGGAAACATGAGTCTTTCTTTAATCATCTCATAGATATTATTGGTATTAACTATTACCGTAAAATTCCGAAAATAAGCACCGGGGCTTATATTTTTCAAAGGCCCTTTTTGAGGGGATTATTTTTGGAGGGGCTTATATTCGGAGGGGCTTACCTACGGAGGGAAATTTGCGTTTCAAAATCGATTGGGCTTGCCTTATAGTTGGAAGTAAATTTACCGTTTTGGCAGTTGTTTTACTTTGTATTTGAGGGCAATTTTCCAAGTGCAAGCCCCCCGAGGGGCTTATATTTTGAGGGGCTTATTTTTGGAGGGGCTTATATTCGGAGGGGATTATCAACGGAAGGAAATTTGCGTTTCGAAATCGATAGGGGCTAGCCTTATGGTTGGAAGTAAATTTTTTTTTGCTTTGTATTTGTGGGCAATTTTCCAAGTACAAGCCCCCGGGGGGCTTATATTTGGAGGGGTGATTTAACGGAGGGTTTTTTGCTTTACGAGTCTGGGAGGCTTATATTTGGAGGGGCTTATACAAGAACGGGCTTATTTTAGGGAATTTTACGGTATCCTTTGACATACAAGTATTCCCCTCGCAAGAAAAGTATATTTGTGGTCTGTTTGGTGAGCGAAATGTCGGTATTTTGGCGGGTGGACAAGACCAAACGTAATTTGAAGAGATTTTTTGAGTTTATTAAGTTTCGTTGTTACTTAGGCCAAGGACCTGCCATCAGACGAGTTTTACTTTTGGTTACCCGAGAGGGGAAACTGGAATTTACATGATTCTTGGCCATGTTTTTGACAAGAGAGGCAGCAGTAACAACCGTTTTACTACAAGAAAGGCTTGAATTGACAAGGGTTTTCAACATCGGAATTTTGATGATTTTAAAAAACTGACACTGCAATATCATTTGCGCCAATGTGCCACAAAGTTTTCAAAGGCTTGTCTATCTTTAGATTGATTAGATTGACTGCACCTTTAAATTTGTTAAGACGTTGTGCTAATGAATTGTCGAACTCATTTCTAAGATTATGAATATATTCGAATACATTTTATACGACTGAAACCAAGTCAAGCTTCAGTCGAATATTTGGGAGAGAGCCTTCGCTGGGTTTCCTGTTTTGTGCTCCTCACCTCATGTGAATTGTTAAACGTATTTTAGTCCCTAAACGGTAGATATAGGCATATTTTCATCCCTTAAAAATTTTTCATCTGTTCGGATTTCCTAGCTTAAAGAGATATAGAGATCAAAACTTACCTTTTCGAAAATTTCAGCGAGAAAGAAAGCTCCCGAAAATTCTACGTGACCTTTTTATGGCAAAAATCCGTTAAAAATGGGCAATTATACCATTTTTTAGATGTTCGAAAATCCTAGGAGAGGCAGGCAAGCAAGAAATTTTACAACAAATGTTCTGAAAATTCTAGATCTCAAATCGTCTTCCGAACAGATATTTTCCGAAAGTTGACGTTGGGTGCCCGTGATTTTCATCCCTTACTACTGTTTAATGAAAGAATAGTGAGTAGTAATCGATGACCTTTTTACTAAACACAAACATCTTGTAGCATGCTTTTAGAACGCGTACTGCAACGTGTCTTTCAGCCTAAGCCTTAAACGAGTCTGACAAGCGATACACAAATATCAGCGTTGACCACAAGACGAGGAAAAACAACCTTCTTACAATTTTCTGATAAAATTTGCGTGGAAGAAAAGCACTTTATTGCAGAAAACCACAGTCTTTTGGTGACATTTTCAGAACTTGATGAAGACAAGTCTCTCGTTCCCATTTTACGGTTTCTCCCCCCATTCCTGGTGATCTACCAGCCAAGGATAAGAACGTAAAGAAATCATGTTGAAAAACTTACTTTATGGAATACTGTAAATAAGCAAATCTTACTGGCACAGGAATTTTACCGTAAAAGCAAGCCAGATTAAGTAGATATCACAATGTAAAATAACAAATTAAGGCCTAAAGTAAACACCTCAGCTTAACGCTCTACTATTTATACATACTGATACAGTTTGCTAATGACCACAATCGTAGTACTAAGTCAAAAAGTTGAAAAAAAATACTTACATAGAAGCTTTGTATAATATTACTAATTCCTAGATAAGAAATGAAAACGATTCCTTTTATATTTTTAAACGTGAGGAAATGATAACGAAACTAGCCTACATTTAATTGTAGTATCTGATATGATACCATGCATACGTTGTGGTTCAATATTTTATTATTGGTTTAAATTTTGTTTTCCGTCGTTTTTGGGGTATGGTAATGTATGATTGATACTCAAAGTTTTAAACAAAGAAAAATAAAATTTAAACCAAGGAAAAAATTTAAGCACACAACAAATATTTACGATCTTTTTATCGAACTTAAGTTGGCAATAAAAGTACGCGTTAATGAGCTCTACCTATTTTTTAAGAGGGCGAATCATTATCGTATAACTTACTTCTTATGTGCCTTGCATTTAAGGTATACGGACATTAAAAAAGTGTTTAACAAAGTACATTAAAGGGCATGAAGAGGAATAACATTGCCATTTCGTCGTTGTTGACATTTGAATAACAACAAGAGAGCTTTCCTGAACTCTGCCATTCTTATCGCGTAAACGATGGGATTGACAAGCGAGTTCATAAAATATAGAATCCTTAAAGAACTGTCCAAACGAAATGATTCCTGGAGAGAAAGAAATTTCAAACTGGATTGAAAATAAAGAAAAGTAGCAACCGCATATGGTAGCCACATCAGTAAAGATACGATAGTCATTATGAATAATGTTATGGTCAATTTCCTTTGTCTGATGGCCGCACCACGGTGCGGAGGACGCGCTCCACACAAAAACTTAACAAAAATGCAAGAGTAAGAAACACAGATAACAAATAGACACAAACAACAGTATGATTGCCACAAATAAAAATGATATGACCTTTCTTTCCCATAGTTATTGAGTATTAAAATGGCAGTTGAAAACATCGTGGCTAAAACCCAGACACCTGCAATTGTTACCCTGTTGACCCAATTTTTGATGAGACGATGTCTCCAGGGACGAATTGTTGCATGCATCCGATCTAATGAAATTACTGCAATGTTTGTA